CAGGCTCTACCGTAAACAGGAGGTGACTGTGTGGATGTAGGTCATCTGTTTAGGATGCCAATGTTAATGTGAAACGCGGGTTTTGTGTTTTTCAGGATCCCCTGCATGAGACTCTCAGGTCAGTAACCAACCCAGCCTCAAACTCGAGCTCCGTCTGCCACCTGGTGGACAAATCAGCGAATTGTCTTGATCTGAATCCAGAGTTTGATTGAAGTGTGTGTTTTCTCTCTCTCTTGGTGTCTCTCTCTGTGTGTCTATCTCTGTGTGTCTCTGTATGTGTCTCTCTCTGTGTGTCTCTCTCTGTGTGTGTCTCTGTGTGTGTGTCTCTGTGTGTCTCTCTGTGTGTCTCTCTGTGTTGTATCTCTCTGTGTGTCTATGTTGTGTGTCTCTGTGTGTGTGTGTCTTTGTGTGTGTCTCTCTGCATGAGAGTATCAGGTCAGTACCAACCCAGCCTCAAACTCGAGCTCTGTCTGCCACCTGGTGGACAAATTAGCGAATTGTCGTGATGTGAATCCAGAGTTTGATTGAAGTGTGTGTTTTCTCTCTCTCTCGGTGTCTCTCTCTGTGTGTCTCTCTCTCTGTGTCTCTCTTTCTGTGTCTCTGTGTGTCTCTCTGTGTGTGTCTCTGTGTTGTCTCTTTCTGTGTTTCTTTGTGTGTGTCTCTCTCTGTGTGTCTCTGTGTGTCTCTCTCTGTGTGTCTCTGTGTGTGTCTGTGTGTGTCTCTCTCTGTGTGTCTCTCTGTGTGTTTTGTGTCTCTCTCTGTGTGTCTATGTTGTGTGTCTCTCTCTGTGTGTCTATGTTGTGTGTCTCTCTCGGTGTGTCTCTGTGTTGTCTCTCTCTGTGTGTCTCTGTGTTGTCTCTCTCTGTGTGTCTATGTTGTGTGTCTCTCTCGGTGTGTCTCTGTGTTGTCTCTCTCTGTGTGTCTCTGTGTTGCCTCTCTCTGTGTGTCTATGTGCGTGTCTCTCTCTGTGTGTCTATGGTGTGTGTCTCTCTCGGTGTGTCTCTGTGTGTCTCTCTCGGTGTGTCTCTGTGTGTCTCTCTGTGTGTCTCTGTGTCTCTCTCTGTGTGTCTATGTGCGTGTCTCTCTCGGTGTGTCTATGTTGTGTGTCTCTCTCGGTGTGTCTCTGTGTTGTCTCTCTCTGTGTGTCTATGTTGTGTGTCTCTCTCGGTGTGTCTCTGTGTGTGTGTGTCTGTGTGTGTCTCTCTCTGTGTGTGTCTCTCTGTGTGTCTCTGTGTGTCTCTGTGTGTGTGTCTGTGTTGTCTCTCTCTGTGTGTCTCTCTCTGTGTGTCTCTCTGTGTGTGTCTCTCTGTGTGTCTCTGTGTGTCTCTCTCTGTGTGTCTCTGTGTGTCTCTCTGTGTGTCTCCGTGTCTCTCTCTGTGTGTCTATGTGCGTGTCTCTCTCTGTGTGTCTATGTTGTGTGTCTCTCTCGGTGTCTCTCTCTGTGTGTCTCTGTGTTCCAAGGCCGTAACTATAATAAATAAGCTCAAAATGTCCCTCCCAATATATTGCTATAAAAACAATTGCTCTGCTATGTAAATAAAACAACAATTTGCTAAACCTTGGCCACAATATCTGGACTTGTCTTTATACAAATCAACGCGTAGATTTCTGTTTATACGATTGTGGTTATGGTTGTACTTGACTAATCCCTAATCTCTGCCATTACACACAATGCAACAAGAAATGTTTTAAAAAAGTAAAAACAGAGCTATGTAACACAATACACTGTTAGACATTATTGTAGAAATATAGTAAAAAGTCCAGTCCACGTGTTCGTCAATTTTTTTATATTTTAGGCAGAAAATGGCAGGAAATAAGTTTTAAAATCTACACTATGGGAACCTCATTTGCCAGTAAAAATATGATAATTGGTTCTTTACCCTTCTATCTGGCAACAAAACTGACACCTTTTTGCAAGGAGTCATGTTTGCATAGACTGCAATAGCTGCAGTCATAATACAAACAAAAGACATAACTCTGATAATGTGCACTGTCCTTGAAGTTGATTGTCTCGGGTGTGGACCAATCAACTTCAAGGACAGTGCACATTATCAGAGTTATGTTCTTTTGTTTGTATTATGACTGCAGGTATTGCGGTCTATGCCAACATGACTCCTTGTAAAAGGTGTCAGTTTTGTTGCCAGATAGAAGGGTAAAGAACCAATTATCAAGTTTTAAAATGTTGATATTTTTAAATCCTTTATATTAAGTTCGCTTGCTTGCTTGCTTAGGACCGTGCAAATATTTCGGTCGTTTTTTAACCCACTTCCCGTGATCCAATCGAGCTGACATTTTGCACACAGACTCGTTGTGCCAAACAATTAATGTTCGTGAAATTTTTGTTCCAAAATTTTACACTTTTTAGGGAAAACAAATTAAATATTTAATTACCAATTGCTTAATACTGCAGACAATCATCTGACCCATAGGTGGCAGCCATCTCAAGCCAGAGGACGAGAGGACTCTAGCCGCCACGCATATAAAGGATTTATAGTGAAAAACTTTGTTTTTACGGGTTATACTTGTTCTGGGTTGGGACCCCCAGACACACTGGAAGATTTTGTCCCCCCCCCCCCCCCAATGTTGACTGCATGGCTACGGCCTTGAACGACATCACAAATCGACTGCAACTTAAACAGAAACAACTCACGCGAACCGGAGCTGGGGGTGAATTCAAATTGGTGACGAGGCCCTTCCTGGAAGGGGGGTGGCGTCAACGTCTAATCCAGGTCGCGTCGGGGGCTGTGCGAGTTTCACTTTCGTCGTGAGTGCGGATCGTGAGGCACTCTGTGCTCCGCCACACACTCACCGAGACACTCACTGACTCGTTAAAACACTCACTGACTCACTGAGACACTCACCGAGACACTCACTGACTCGCTCAGACACTCACTGAGACACTCACTGAGACACTCACTGACTCGCTGACTCGCTCACTGAGACACTCACTGACTCACTGAGACACTCACTGACTCGCTCAGACACTCACTGAGACACTGAGACACTCACTGACTCGCTCAGACACTCACTGAGACACTCACTGACTCGCTCACTGAGACACTCACTGAGACACTGAGACACTCACTGACTCGCTCACTGAGACACTCATTGAGACACTGAGACACTCACTGACTCGCTCACTGAGACACTCATTGAGACACTCACCGAGACACTCGCTGAAATACTGAGCCACTCACTGGGACACTGAAACACTCACTGAGACACTCACTGAGACACTCACTGAGACCACTCACTGACTCACTGAGACACTGAGACACTCAGAGACACTCACTGACTCACTGAGACACTCACTGCGACACTCACTGATACATTCAATGACTCGCTGAGACACTCACTGAGACACTCACTGAAACACTCACTGACTCGTTCACTTAGACACTCACTGACTCACTGAGACACTCACTGAAACACTCACTGAGACACTCACTGAGTCACTGAGACACTCACTGACTCACTGAGACACTCACTGACTCACTGATACACTCACTGAAACACTCACTGAAACACTCACTAAGACACTCACTTAGACACTGAAACACTCACTTACTCACTGAGACACTCACTGACTCACTGAGACACTCACTGAGACACTGAAACACTCACTGAAACACTCACTGAGACACTCACTAAGACACTCACTGAAACACTCACTGAGACACTCACCGAGACACTCACTGACTCACTCACTGCGACACTCACTGAAACACTCACTGACTCACTGAGACAATCACTGAGACACTGAGACACTCACTGAGACACTCACTGACTCACTGAGACACTCACTGAAACACTCACTGAAACACTCACTAAGACACTCACTTAGACACTGAAACACTCACTTACTCACTGAGACACTCACTGACTCACTGAGACACTCACTGAGACACTGAAACACTCACTGAAACACTCACTGAGACACTCACTAAGACACTCACTGAAACACTCACTGAGACACTCACCGAGACACTCACTGACTCACTCACTGCGGCACTCACTGAAACACTCACTGACTCACTGAGACAGTCACTGAGACACTGAGACACTCACTGAGACACTCACTGACTCACTGAGACACTCACTGAGACATTCACTGAGTCACTGAGACACTGAGACACTCAGAGACACTCACTGACTCACTGAGACACTCACTGCGACACTCACTGATACATTCACTGACTCGCTGAGACACTCACTGAGACACTCACTGAAACACTCACTGACTCGTTCACTTAGACACTCACTGACTCACTGACTCACTGAAACACTCATTGAGACACTCACTGAGTCACTGAGACACTCACTGACTCACTGAGACACTCACTGACTCACTGAGACACTCACTGAAACACTCACTGAAACACTCACTAAGACACTCACTTAGACACTGAGACACTCACTTACTCACTGAGACACTCACTGACTCACTGAGACACTCACTGAGACACTGAAACACTCACTGAAACACTCACTGAGACACTCACTAAGACACTCACTGAAACACTCACTGAGACACTCACCGAGACACTCACTGACTCACTCACTGCGGCACTCACTGAAACACTCACTGACTCACTGAGACAGTCACTGAGACACTGAGACACTCACTGAGACACTCACTGACTCACTGAGACACTCACTGAAACACTCACTGAAACACTCACTAAGACACTCACTTAGACACTGAAACACTCACTTACTCACTGAGACACTCACTGACTCACTGAGACACTCACTGAGACACTGAAACACTCACTGAAACACTCACTGAGACACTCACTAAGACACTCACTGAAACACTCACTGAGACACTCACCGAGACACTCACTGACTCACTCACTGCGGCACTCACTGAAACACTCACTGACTCACTGAGACACTCACTGAAACACTCACTGAAACACTCACTAAGACACTCACTTAGACACTGAAACACTCACTTACTCACTGAGACACTCACTGACTCACTGAGACACTCACTGAAACACTCACTGAAACACTCACTAAGACACTCACTTAGACACTGAAACACTCACTTACTCACTGAGACACTCACTGACTCACTGAGACACTCACTGAGACACTGAAACACTCACTGAAACACTCACTGAGACACTCACTAAGACACTCACTGAAACACTCACTGAGACACTCACCGAGACACTCACTGACTCACTCACTGCGGCACTCACTGAAACACTCACTGACTCACTGAGACAGTCACTGAGACACTGAGACACTCACTGAGACACTCACTGACTCACTGAGACACTCACTGAGACACTCACTGAGTCACTGAGACACTGAGACACTCAGAGACACTCACTGACTCACTGAGACACTCACTGCGACACTCACTGATACATTCACTGACTCGCTGAGACACTCACTGAGACACTCACTGAAACACTCACTGACTCGTTCACTTAGACACTCACTGACTCACTGACTCACTGAAACACTCACTGAGACACTCACTGAGACACTCACTGACTCACTGTGACGCTCACTGACTCACTAAGACACTCACTGACTCACTAAGACACTCACTGAAACACTCACTGAAACACTCACTGACTCACTGAGACAGTCACTGAGACACTGAGACACTCACTGAGACACTCACTGACTCACTGAAACACTCACTGAAACACTCACTGACTCACTCACTGAAACACTCATTCACAGCCATGGCCACCGCAGCCGCTCCTGCTGCTGTGTCCGAGGAGCTCAGCTGCTCCATCTGCCTGGAGGCGTTCGACTGCCCCTCCACGCTGAGCTGCGGCCACTCGTTCTGCCTGCGCTGCCTGGAGGCCGCGTGGCAGGCGGCCGGGTGCTACTTCTGCCCCCAGTGCCGAGACGAGTTCCAGCAGAAGCCGCGGCTGAGGAAGAACGTGACGCTCGCCAATCTCGTGGAGGAGCTCAGCATTGGGGGCGGTGGCGGGGGTGAAGCCGGGGACGAGAAAACGACGTCTCCGCGGTTGTCCTGCGACAGCTGCCTGGACGGCGACGTCCCTGCCGTGAGGATCTGCGTGACGTGCGAGACGTCCCTCTGTGAGTCCCATTGCAGGCGTCACCTGCAGAACGCGAAGTTCAAGGGCCACTCGCTGGTCGAGCCGGGAGTCGGCGCGCAGGTGCGCAAGTGCCCGAGGCACGGGAAGCTGCTCGAGTTCTACTGCGCGCGGGACAAGAGGCTGGTCTGCACCAGCTGCGCCATCGTCGGGGAGCACGTGGGTCACGAGTTGAGCAGCGTGGAGGACGCGCACGAGGAGCGGAAGGTGAGCGTGTAGTGTATAGTGTAGTGTATAGTGTAGTGTAGTGGTGTATAGTGTAGTGTATAAGTGTAGTGTATAGTGTAGTGTATAGTGTAGTGTATAATGTAGTAGTGTAGTGGTGTAGTGTATAATGTAGTGTATAATGTAGTGGTGTATAATGTAGTGTATAATGTAGTGTATAATGTAGTGGTGTATAGTGTAGTGTATAGTGTAGTGTATAAGTGTAGTGTATAGTGTAGTGTATAGTGTAGTGTATAGTAGTGGAGTGTATAGTGTAGTGTATAATGTAGTGTATAATGTAGTGTATAGTGTAGTGTATAGTGTAGTGTATAAGTGTAGTGTATAGTGTAGTGTATAGTGTAGTGTATAGTGTAGTGTATAGTAGTGGAGTGTATAGTGTAGTGTATAAATGTAGTGTATAATGTAGTGTATAGTGTAGTAGTGATATAGTGTATAGTAGTGTAGTGCAGGGGCGGTTTCTTCATTAGGGCGATTGGGCGACGCACCACCAATGTCATTCAACCACAGAGTGACGCGAGCCGTCACTGTGCCTCTGGATATAGTCCAATCAGCGTCATGTCACGTTCTGTGGAGTACCGCCTCTTTTTGGGCGATTTCCCTCCAGCTGAGAATCGCCCCGAGTTTTCCCATAGACTTACATTCAAAGATGTTTTTTTTCGAACGGGGGGCGCTGCAATGCATTATCTACGGCTTCCGGGAGGGCTCGCCTTAACGTGCTTACGTCATCATACGTGCTTACATCATCATACGTAAGCACGTTTCAGTCAACAATATTATTTGTCGCCACCTAGTGGAATCTTTAATAAAAGAAATTGAGTGGATTGTAATAATAGTGAGTATAGAAACAAACAAGGAGATGTATTGTGAGAGTCACTTTATTTTTCATTAATATTAAAGAAGTGAAGTTGCCTTTACATGCTTAAGCTGTTAATTTATCTATTGCATGGGTGGACCTTATCCTTATCAATCATCCAGACATTTGCCCCCCCTGAGAGATTTTGCAGGAGCCGCCACTGCAAAGGAACCTTACGGGATTGGACCCCCACCCCCTGCCCGGGGTATCGAATAATACAAAATGGCCGAGGCAATTGAATATTTTATTTCTGGGGTCACTGGTTTTTTTTCCGGGGGGTGTATCGATCAATCCGAAATCGGTGGCACTCTGTGATGTCGAAACGCCAAACGTCGGCATGAAAAGAAATCCGTTATCGAAAAATGCAACTTCGAATGGTTGTATTTTTGGTTCTTTCGGTAAAGTCACGTAGAAGGGAAATAATAAAATAATAATATTTCGCTTCTACGTGACTTTACCGAAAGAACCAAGAAGATAAAGGGGGGGGGGGGGCCTTGAGGGATATATGAGATGGGGGGGGGGGGTATGCGAGAGAGGGTTCGGCACGCTTGGAGTGAAGGGAATCCTTGAAGACCCCGCGTGTCTCTCGCGCTTGCCAGAAATCAAGACTCCTCTCGTTGAGGACCTCTGTGCCCGCTCGTCACTCCGGTAGTAAGGCTCCCGCCACCGATGCTACCCATAGGTTTCATATTCTTGGGTTTTTTCGGTAAAGTCACGTAGGTAAAAAATAAAAATAGAATAAAAATCACGACGTTTTGGAGGCAACACAAGCCTCCGTCTTCAGGTGGAACCGTCACAGCACGATCGCTGTATCAAGTAAATGAGAAATTCCAAGAAAACAGTCCTTGTAGATGTGAGTGTGAAAGCGATGGGTATGACCTTGTTATCTCGGCATCTCTTGAGGAAGGCCAGCGTCTCGAGAAGCTGTGTGACTTCTTGTCTCGTTGTCTGTTAAAAACTCTAACAGATAGGTGGAATTCCTCCCCGTAGAGGGTATTGATTCTAGATTTGAAGTTTTCGTGACTGCAACGATTCATATTCTTGGGTTTTTTCGTTAAAGTCACGTCGTGATTTTTATTTTATTTCAATTTTAATTTTTTACCTACACGGTGACTTTACCGAAAAAACCCAAGAATATGAATCCTTGCAGTCACGAAAGCTTCAAATCTAGAACCCGTAGGTTTGTTTCATTCTGGTTAGATCGCGCAAATATGAAGGTGCGTCGTTGAACACCGCCACCACCGTACACGGCCAATCTGTAAGGGGTTTGTAACGTCGACGAAAAGGTGGTGCCGGCCTTGGCTTGTCGCCTGATGATGTTGGTTGCTGCTGCTGTTGTTGTAATTACCGACGCGACGAAACGGTACTCGAATTGTTCATAATCAACGTTTTTGGGTTTAGATCGCGTTATTTATAAATTTGTCGTAACCCTCCACCACACGACACGGCCAATCAGTAAAAAAGTTTCACGTTGACAAAAGACAAATAGTTCACTGCTTTAGCCCACCGGTGTGTTGAAGCGTGAAACCACAACATTAACAATTTGAGTAGTACGACGTTTCGCTGGTTATTGCATCCAGCATCATCGGGCAATTCGCCAGAATTGTGACTGTGTCAGTGGGGTTTACTCTCCAACACAGACGGATTTATTTTGCTGCTGTGAATTTTCAATTGATAAGCTATACACTACACTACTACACTGTACTAGTCATGAATTGGCATGTTCTGTTCACGTGACAACCCTTACTAGTTGGCTGTGCCAGGTGGTGGCGGCTCTAATGACACACACACACAGGTTAAGAACCATCTTCTTGGTTCTTTCGGTAAAGTCACGTAGAAGGGAAGTAATAAAATAATAAAAATAAAACATAATAAAATAATATAATAATATATTTTATTTTATTATGTTTTATTTTTATTATTTTATTACTTCCCTTCTACGTGACTTTACCGAAAGAACCAAGAAGATGAATCCCTGCAGTCACGAAAGCTTTAAATCGAAGGTTAAGAACCACTCGTGTGGAGGTGACGGACCGGGCGTGAGGGGTGGCACCACCCATGAAGGACCGGAGTCTCACCCCCCCCCCCCCCCCCGCTGGCAATGTCTCGTTTCTAAATCTATAGACGCGCGTAGCACGGGAGACGCGAGCAGTGGACGAGAGGAGGAAGGAGGTGGAGGGGTCCGTCAAGCAGATGGAGGCCGCTCGCAGGAAGGCTCAGGTAGCGTTGTCCGTGCCCGGCTCCGTTGGTCCCCTTCCCCGTGACCTCCACCCAGCGCCGAAGTCGCGGTGGTCGAAACACATTTTCGAGAATTCTTCGTGCGGCCTCACGGCTTTGATGCCTCTTGACTACGCCATTCACCGTCTTTGGGTTGTAATGTGAGGATAAATCCGGCTCACTGACGTATCACAACACGTCACGATGATTGGCTCTGCCGGTCCTGGTTTATAGCCAATGTGGGGGAAGCCTAGGGGCGTGGCCCTGACGTAATGGAAAGGTGACAGCTGAAAGGATATGATTGGTTCTGCTGGCTTTGGCCACAGCCAATGGGGAGACGAGTCAGGGGCGTGGTCCCGGGAGCTTACGAGGGAGCCTGGAATATTCCACGGAGGCTAACCAGGATTGGTGGAAACGTACCACGTGACCCGGGTATTAAATAGGGGTGGAGACGAACGACACGTGGTCAGAACGGGAACGAACAGAGGAACGGGGCCACGCGGGAGCGGGGCTCCGGGTTGCCACGTGGCAGTGCGTCTCTCTCTCTCTCTATCCCTCTCACGCTGCCTGCCAGCAGTGTGAAGGAAACTGTAATACAAGTTCAATAAGAGACGAATTCCAGAAGTCGCCTCAACGACCTTTATTACAGGGTCTTTCGTGACTTTACCGAAAGACCCAAAGAGTATGAATTCCCGCAGCCACGAAAGCTTTAACTGAAGATTTACATCATTCACCGTCAAACTCAACATTTACCCGCGAGGAGGTTGCACGTCTACCGCATTCGATGGCCGTGGGGGGGGGGCAGGGGTCAGCTGACTCGGCATCGCGTCTGCAACCTCCTGTGGCAAAAAAAAAAAAAATGTGGAGTGCCAAGGATTGTCGAGGTGGAGCTGTGGCGTAGCTGCCTGTGGGCGCCGGTACGGACACAGAGAGAGGCACGAACCCCGCACAGATGTCATCTCGCGTCGTCCCTGATCGCGTCGCTGGAGTCGGACCCACGAGTGGCCCCGAGTTTCAACATCCGCTCGTTACGCTATCAAATGTAAACTTTACTCACGTAGCACAATGTGCGCTTAACATGCGAGACGAGTTGCCTCACGGGACAAAATATAGTCACTTTAAGATGTTTTCTTGTTCATGTTTTAGGTTTTTTTGTTTGTTGCGGTTGCAATCGATTCAAGAGCCGAATAGCTCAGAGGGCAAAACCTAATGAATGAAACTTGAAATGAAACTTGAAACGACCTGCTGTATACCAGCCGATGGAGGTAACATCTCGCCACGGACGCAGTGGCTCACGTCTCAGGGAGCCAATCGTGGTGCCCGCGTCTCCACAGGAATCGGTGGCCGGGATCAGGGGTCGCATCACGGGCAAGTTCGCCCGCTTAAGGAAGGCTCTGGACGAGGACGAGACGGAGGCACTGCGCCGCGTGGCCGTGAAGGAGCGCGAGCTGCTGTCCCGGATCGACGAGGACATCGCTCGTCACGAGCGGGAGATCGGCGAGCTCCGGGCGACGGCCGCTCGCCTGCGAAATCTGCAGAACGAGAGGGACTCGCTCACCTTCCTGCAGGTGGGGAGCGCCTCCGTGTTAGACGCCGTTTGGATGACCAGAATAACAGATCGGGCAGTGGCAGGGATTCTAGATTTGAAGTTTTCGTGACTTCAAGGATTCATATTCTTAGTTTTTTCGGTAAAGTCACGTAGGTAAAAATAAATAAATGAAAAAACAACTAAATTAAATCACGACGTTTCGGAGGCAACACAAGCTTCCGTCTTCAGTGAATTTGGCTGCAACGGTTCCACCTGAAGACGGAAGCTTGTGTTGCCTCCGAAACATCGTGATTTAATTTAGTTGTTTTTTCATTAATTTATTTTTACCTACGTGACTTTACCGAAAAAACCAAAGAGTATCAGTGGCAGAGACTCGCTCACCTTGCTGCAGGCCTCTGTGTGTCAGACGCCGCTTGGGTGTCCAGAATAACAGAGCGGGCGGTAGCAGAGGGGCTCGTGGTCCCAGGGTAGAAACATCACTCATCTCTCTCTCTCTTCCACAGGGACACCTGGAGGAGATGCGCAGGTACGGATCCTTGACGTCTAACAGTTAAACACTCAAAACACAGGATGTGTGTGTTAGACACACGGGCTGTGTGTGAGACACGGGCTGTGTGTGAGACACAGGCTGTGTGTGAGACACCGGCGGTGTGTGAGACACGGGCTGTGTGTTAGACACACGGGCTGTGTGTGAGACACGGGCTGTGTGTGAGACACTCGCTGTGTGTGAGACACTGACTGTGTGTGAGACACGGACTGTGTGTGAGACACGGGCTGTGTGTGAGACATGGGCTGTGTTAGACACACGGGCTGTGTGTGAGACACCAGCGGTGTGTGAGACACGGGCTGTGTGTGAGACACGGGCTGTGTGTGAGACATGGGCTGTGTTAGACACACGGGTTGTGTGTGAGACACCGGCGGTGTGTGAGACACGGGCTGTGTGTGAGACACGGGCTGTGTGTGAGACACTCGCTGTGTGTGAGACACTGACTGTGTGTGAGACACTCGCTGTGTGTGAGACACGGGCTGTGTGTGAGACACTGACTGTGTGTGAGACACTCGCTGTGTGTGAGACACTGACTGTGTGTGAGACACGGACTGTGTGTGAGACACGGGCTGTGTGTGAGACATGGGCTGTGTTAGACACACGGGCTGTGTGTGAGACACCGGCGGTGTGTGAGACACGGGCTGTGTGTGAGACACGGGCTGTGTGTGAGACATGGGCTGTGTTAGACACACGGGCTGTGTGTGAGACACCGGCGGTGTGTGAGACACGGGCTGTGTGTGAGACACGGGCTGTGTGTGAGACACTCGCTGTGTGTGAGACACGGGCTGTGTGTGAGACACCGGCTGTGTGTGAGACACGTGCTGTGTGTGAGACACGGGCTGTGTGTGTGACAAGGGCTGTGAGACACTGGCTGTGTGTGAGACACGGGCTGTGTGTGAGACACGGGCTATGTGTGAGACACTCGCTGTATGTGAGACACTGACTGTGTGTGAGACACTCGCTGTGTGTGAGACACGGGCTGTGTGTGAGACACTGACTGTGTGTGAGACACTCGCTGTGTGTGAGACACTGACTGTGTGTGAGACACGGACTGTGTGTGAGACACGGGCTGTGTGTGAGACATGGGCTGTGTTAGACACACGGGCTGTGTGTGAGACACCGGCGGTGTGTGAGACACGGGCTGTGTGTGAGACACGGGCTGTGTGTGAGACATGGGCTGTGTTAGACACACGGGCTGTGTGTGAGACACCGGCGGTGTGTGAGACACGGGCTGTGTGTGAGACACGGGCTGTGTGTGAGACACTCGCTGTGTGTGAGACACGGGCTGTGTGTGAGACACCGGCTGTGTGTGAGACACGTGCTGTGTGTGAGACACGGGCTGTGTGTGTGACAAGGGCTGTGAGACACTGGCTGTGTGTGAGACACGGGCTGTGTGTGAGACACGGGCTATGTGTGAGACACTCGCTGTATGTGAGACACGGGCTGTGTGTGAGACACTCGCTGTGTGTGAGACACGGGCGGTGTGTGAGACACTGACTGTGTGTGAGATGGATCCTGAGTCTTCCGATGCTGTGGTTACACGAGGCTGTGTGTGATGCTGTTTGTTGGTGGCTATCCCAGAAGGAAGATACTAAAGAAATCTGCACCTCCACCTCCCACTTCCCTGGACGCCACCACGATCAGCTCCCTGGAAAGATCCATGCGCAGACTCCTGCCTCTCGTCTGTGAGTTGCACTGCACTTCTGTGCTCCCCTCTTTGATCAACTTGCATTCTATTTCTAACGGGCAAGCCCACCGAGCTAGCTACGTAGCTCTCTGAGCTGCGTGAGATTGATCCTAGATGTGGAGGAGGGATGAGAGAGAGAGAGACAACAGCGAACCGCCCCAACTCAGTCTTCGTCAATCCTCGTGGCTAGCTCAGACGCGCTTCTTGACTTTCGCAATTCCCGTTGCCTTCGCGTTTTCAGTGGCTGACTCGGAGACGCTGAGGGTAAGGAGACACTCTGGTTTATTGACACGGGCTGACGGTTAACACTTTTATAACTCGTCTTTAAATGAACTACTGCCTCCCAGCGAGGACGGCCGGTAGACCGCCTGACTGGCGACGCCGAGCCGGTGAAGACTCCGGCAGCACGACGGGGATCCCACTCCACACGACAAACCCCGAGGTCCCCTTTCCTGGGGGCCCCTCTCTAGCACTGGGGAGACAAAGGCGACCGGGCGTGGTGCTGGTAGCCAACCCCTCGTGTGCCGTACCGGCCTTCATAGGTGCTGCTCGCGAACAACAGCGCTTGACCCAAAAGCGATTACGCATTCGCCATTGCGACTGCTATGCGAGCACTGTCTCTGTCATCGCCACAGATGGACGCTCACCGACTCTGGACCCGAGCTCGGCCCACGACAAACTCCGGATTTCCTCGGATCTCAGGACGGTGACGCTGACCGCTGCCTCCCAGGGTCGCCCAAATCACCCGCGCCGCTCCGACGTCTACCACCAAGTCCTGTGCTCGGAGAGCTTCTCGTCGGGTCAGCACTACTGGGAGGTGGACGTGGGGAGCCGCTCGGGGTCGTGCCGGATTGGAGTCGCCTACGCGGCGATCAAACAAACAAAAAATGGCGGCGGCGACTGCTTCCTGGGATGGAGCGACGGCTCCTGGTGTCTACAGAAAGTCGACGGCAGCTTCTCGGCGTGGCACGGCGGGGTAGTGACAGCACTGTCGGTGCCGGAGCCTCCGCGGAGAGTAGGGGTTCACCTGGACTGGGACGCGGGGCTGCTGTCGTTTTACAACGCCCAATCCATGGCGCCATTGCACTCGTTTCGCCAAATCTTCGTCGAGCCCGTGCATCCGTGGCTGTACTTGGGGGTTTGTACATCCGTGACGATCGTGGATCTGAGCGGCGCGTCCTGAGAGAGGCGGGCGCCGTTTGCTTGCCCGTGACGATTTTTCGGTGGTTTAGGAGTGCACGGCTCTCGGCTCAAATGCGGGGCAGGCTTCGGCGAAGCCAAGTCGAGAAGTAGCGACGCAAATGATGATTGTTATTCTTTTCCCCAAAAAAATTTGCAAACAACCAATTTTTTTATCAGGAGTCGCAGCGTTCCGCGGTGAGAATTTCGAGACGGTGGCAACCTTTTTGATAAATGACCCGTCAAGAGGCGGTCGGATCGCATTAAAAAGAGCCGGATGCAGCTCCCGGAAGCCACGGGTTTGTTATGTTTTTTGGGTCTTTCGGTAAAGTCGCGTGGAATGATGCAAAGAAAAGAACAAAAAACTATGACGTTTTGATCGCAACGCAAGCGATCGTCATCAGGAGAAATGAGATGTGTTATGTTTCTAACCACCCCCTAGATCCCTTGCTCTGGGGGGGGGGGGTGGGTTATAAATATAACCACCGGTATAATTTTTTTTTAAATACGACATTTCGATGGCAGCACATCAGGTAGATGTTGACCGATTGTGTGGCGATCGAAACGTCGTAGTTTTTGTTGCCATTTTTGTTTGAACATATCTACGTGACTCTACCGAAAGACCCAAAGAATATAACCACCGGTGTGAAAGCTAAGGATTTTTTTTTATCCTTAGCTGGCAATACAACGGGAGGTGTTAAGATGTCATAAACACAGAATCGGTGCATTTAACCACAGGCAGTACCTTGTGGAAAAACACGCACACGAAAAACGCTCTGATGACGATAATGATTATAAAAATGCATTGTCTTTGAAACTGATTGGCTTACACCAGAGACAGCCTTCTTGTATGGCTTTGTGTCTGCACCGGTGTTGGACTACTTTGTGTGTGGAGCCAACATTGACGCCCTCCCAGAGGAGTGTGATTGTAGGGGTGCAATGATTATGAATGGTGAAATGGGATGTGTTTATACACTGGTGGTGTTATTGATAGGGGTGCAGTGATTAGCAATGGTGAACTGTGATGTGTTTATACACTGGGGGTATAATTGATCGGGGTGCAGTGATTAACAATGGTGAACTGGGATGCATTTGTAGGGGTGTCAGGGGAAGGATTCCCACCAATAGAAGGGGGAGTGCGACGGTGACAGGAGAAGGGGGAAGAGCAGGTGAGGAGATATAAGGGAGAGAACGGGCGGGAAGAGGGGTGGGTTGGCGGGAAGGAGATTGGGATGGCTGGAGACAGGTGTGGATGGGAGGAAAGGAATAAAAGACGAACCCCCCTGCAACCTTGTGTCGGCTCTCCTTTACACTTGTATACACTGGTGGTGTCATGGGTTGTGGGAGATATACAACAATAATGTTAATTTTAAAAAGTCTAAATGTCCGCGTACGACAGTGGCATCGTAACGCTCAGCTTATTGGAGAGTATATTTAGTATACTGATGATACTATGTAGTTTATACTTTAGTTTTTTACGTGGTGGTTTAGTTACTGCAGCTACATACTATTAACATTCCTTCCCTTTATTAATGCTACCCCTATCCCCTCCCTTTGATGCTGCGTATACTGCATAATGCACGGGCATAATATGACTTTGAAATCCCCCGCCCACCTAAGCATTTCACAAGTAGTACTAATCCCACATCTGCATTTACCATAAATATGCTAAATTCCTCTTGATATGCAAATTAGTTTGTCAAGGCGCTCTTCCCCCTCCAACCCAGCAGCTTAAATATACGCTCCAAGCCTGGGGGTGTTTCATTCAGACGCTGTCTTCCTGACAGACCTGTTCTTCACCTGAGGACGGCTGCTTGCGTTGTGGCCGAAACGTCGTGAGAATTATTTTATTATGTTTTATTTTTATTATTTTATTATTTCCCTTCTACGTGACTTTACCGAAAGAACCAAGAAGATGAATCCCTGCAGTCACGAAAGCTTTAAATCGAAATATAAATGTGTTGTTAAACCTGCCACCACCCGACACGGCCAATCAGTAAGGTCTGTCGCGTAAACAAAACGTGCCAATTTGTTACTCGTAAAGCACTAGTGTATAGTGTAGTGTATAGTATAGTGTATAGTAGTGTGTAGTGTAGTGTATAGCAGTGTAGTAAATAGTGTAGTGTATAGCAGTGTAGGTGTTCAGTGCAGTGTATAGTGTAGTGTACTAGTACAGCACACCAGTATATTGGAGAGTAAAACAACAACATTTACAATCTGAGCACCACTTTTCGCCACTAATTGCAACCGGCGTCATCAGCTGTCAGGCGACGCGGTAAATCTGCAAGTTTCAGATTTGCCGCATCTGGCGCGTGACGCGGCAGAGCGAAGCCCCGCCCCCCACGGGTCATCACGTGGGGCGGGGTGGGGGCGGGGGCGTGGTCTGGCGCGCGACGCGTCAGAGGGACTCGGCGCCATTGGACGGCAGAGCGGCGCGTGGCAACATTAAGTGTGGCCGCCATAAGACATCCCCTGCCTGTGCGATTCATGTTCAGGGGCCAGCACTGAAGAGAGAGCCCCCCACCAGCCCCTGAACATGAATTGCACGTATTCTTAGGTTTTTTCGGTAAAGTCACGTAGGTAAAACATCAAAATTAATAAAAATAAAATAAAGATCACGACGTTTCGGAGGCAACACAAGTCTCCGTCATCAGGTGGGACCGTCACAGCCAGATTAGCTGCATCAAGTGAGGCAATGATTCATAATGTAATCCCTTAAAAGCGAGTTGGGGGGGGGAGGAGAGGGGGGGGGGGGAGTTCATCAGAATGTGGTAGCCAATGAATGGAACGTATCGGGAGGGAGGGAGGCGGGGTCAAAAGGGTGGGCGACAGCGTGGAAGCGATTGTGCGCAAGAGACAAACTGCTGCACACGCCAACGCATTGGGCAGAGAGGGGGGAGGGGGAGGCCTGAAACAATGACACAAAAGAACGGAAATGCCATTGTTTATACCAATGCTGCCTGAACAATGAAGAGATTACTGTTAAACACTCGGTAAAGTAAAGTAAGATAGTGCCTGTCAGATAAGATGGTCCAAAAAAGTGTAATTAAGTCTGTTTTGCGTGGTTAATAACATCTTTCCAATGATTACTAAGTTTGTACCCATGATCACGGTTGAAATTATGTCTGTGTTTGTATATTTGTATGGCTTCGTGTACAAACCTTTGATGTTAGCCAGGAGGTTTGCAGAGAACCTTGGTCTCGGAAAAGACAATTTCATGAGAACCCACCGAGTTGTAGCAATGATCGGCAACGGCCGAAGAATCAGTTCTGCCGTGTTTCAGATCTGACTTGTGCTCGCGGACACGATCAGCAACATGACGTTTCGTTTCTCCAATGTAGCAATCACCACAAATGCAACTCCATTTGTAGACTCCAGGATACTGTAAGTCAGGAACGACATCCTTCACAGATGGAATCAGATCACGGATTTTATGCACTGTACTGAATCGGACTTGGATCTAATGTTTGTTTAGAATTTGAGATCTTTTTGGTCACGCCTGCTATGTATGGTAACGTGATAGTTTTGGTCAGAGTTTCATTTATAAACATTTCAACGGAGCGTTCATAAATTTATGAAAATTCTGAGGTAAATGTGTGCGCATATAGCGACGGGAAGGCAGTAACGTTTTGAAAGGTAAATGACGAAATATAAAGATCGTTATTCGTGTAGCTTGTTGAATATGTTAATAATGGTTTAAGTGTTAATGGTTAAAACTTACAAAATGGCTGCCTTTGGTTTGTGCGTTTGGCGCGAGTTGGTTCCGCGATTTGGTCGAGATGACAGCAGTGGACTTAAAACTATCGTGACTGCAGGAATTTAACGTCTTAGTTTGTCATTTTCTTAGAACCAATGAATGAAAATGACAAATTATTACACCTAAATATTTTTTAATTGCCACATTATTATAGCGGTTTTGAATTGAAAACGTTGGCTAACAGGAGGTCTGTGTAAGTTTTGTATTCAGTGCTGGTTCAATAGGACATGGGGGGGGGGGATGAGCAGAGTAGTGGATTGTGGCATGCGAACTAAAAACAGAAGTATATTTTCACGAGACCTCCTTTGCCAGTGTCAACATAAGAATGTTTCCCCCTTTTGGCATCCTCTGATCTAACACTGAGACTAGGCTAAAAAAAAAGTCTCTGGTGTGGACCAATCAATTCAAAAAACACGTTTCTTCGGAGTGGGCAGGTAGGAACTTGGTTGGATAGCCCATTCGTGCACGACAGACAAATAATCCCTGGTGGGAAGTGTGGAACCTGTTGTTTCTAGTTGTAAAACATACCATGCCACTAACCCACCGTTTCAATAATGGCCATGCAAAATGGAGGATATGAAGCTCGATATTCTTTGCTTCATTCGGTAAAAATCAGTGAAAAACAAAAACCATAAAAAAAACCAAGGAGTATGGATCCTTGCAGCCACGAAACCTTCAAATCTAGAATGATATGAAGTTCAAACTACAAAAAAAAAATCCCTGCCAACAGCAAATGGTGAAATATCCATGTCCATAAACATTGGAACCTCGTAAAAAAATAGAAATTCCTTATATGCAACCAAACATGCGAAGAGAAAATTGCAGTGCAATGCAGAAGGCTTTTATTTGTAGTTAGCCACAATAATTCTTTCAGAACATTTGATCAAAAAGGGTACAACACACAGCTCTATTTCTCAGTAGCACGGGCGGTCATTTTGGTGTAGGTGAGCCCCTTGTAGACGCCACGCAGGGGAACGTCAAAGAGAGCGCCGTTCATGCAGGTGATGCGCAGCAGGGCCGTGTACGGGAGGTCGATGTTTGCACGCCCGATTTTGGCGACAACAGTGACGGTCTTGTGCGGAGGAACCGAGACAGGGAACGTGAGAGTTTCCATCCGCTCCTCAGACTCCTCCAATGCGTGCGTGGTCTCCGAGCTCAAGGTGAAGCTGAACCCGGTCTCCACCTCCACGACCTCAGGGATGCCTGCCGAGACGGTCAGGCTGAAGGTGAACTCGATCTTGTTGGTCGTAGACCACGATGACGTTTTGGTTATCTTCTTGGAACTCTCGAACGTGTAAGACTGCATGACGCTGGTGTTGTTCGTGTACTCCATTTCTTTAATCTCCTCCATCTGCACGTTAGGCAGAACCTGGTGCATTGTTGGGTACTTCATGTTCTGGATCACCGACGACTTGACAGCATTGATGAAAAGGAAGCCCATGCAGTCAATGTCGGCCCCCGCGCGGCCCTGAACACCCAAGCAGATGCCAGAGCCCACGTCGATCTTGTACTCGGTCTGGAGCTTCCAGTCCGTCATCTTGGCAAAGAACTCGCGGTTGCGGCTCGTTCTGAACTTGATGGCACCCAGACGCGTGCCGGCCCCATTGCCCCACAGGGAGAGCTGCGACATGAACTCGCCCGACTGGAATTCAAACTGCTGAGCGGAGAAGTCCACGGTGCCGAATTTCTGCCTTCGCCCGTCAGTCAGCCACACCTCCACGCCCCTCACTTGCCAGCCTCCAACGCTCACGGAGATTTTCTGCAGCGTGGCCGCATTGCTCCTCCCATCAAACGAGAATGCATTTCCACCTTGGCCTCCAATGATGTGCAGCGTAAGCGGGTACGACATTGTCAACCTGGATGGAGAGGAGGAAGGGAAAGCATGGCAAGCAAGTTTCAAGCCAAGTATTCTTGCCTCATCATTTACAAGAAACAGAATCATGATTACAGTTCACTAGCAACTGTAGTTCAGTGTACCGTTCGTGTCTTAAAATATTTCGGAAGGGCTGAAAAATAGTGGGCACCAAATAGTGCGCAATAGCCATTTTACATGTTGTTAAATCATGGTTTAAATCTTTAGCACGTATGCAACATAAGCAAACCTAATCCTTGTCAAAATTATTACCGTTTTAAGATTTAAATTTGTGGAATCAATAGGAAAGGAAAAAGTGCACAACACAATGAACTCTCCGCTGATCTATTAACAATTAGTCCTTCAAGCACAAGCGTGCGTGCTCATGGAACTGCGGGCATTGTTGGTGGCAGAGTATCAAAACTAAATTCCCATACATTTTTCTCCCATCAAACAGCAGGATAGAGTATGGTCCATTCCACAACCCTCGATCCACTCAGCCACAGTAGACCATCATGCAGTGGGGCAATGCAAGTGTGATGCACATGTCAGGTTGCAGTAGCACAAATACCTTTTTCTTTCCACGAACAATGAAAAGCTCGGATAGACGATCCAGGGACTTGGCTGAAGGCGACCTAGACGGGTCATATGAACAGAAGTAGTTGGGTTAAGGTAATGTCGGGAAACCAGATTAACCCTATAATCCAAGGCAACCATGTTTGCATATCGCCCAGGCAAGATCCATCCTGGCCAACAAATAAACAGCGGAGGTTTTTTAGAGCGCAGGCATAATGCAGTGGTCATTAGGTGTTGCATCACATCAGGGTGGAGAAATTTATGACAAGACTGTTTGAAAATGGGTTAAATTAGACCCTTTAGATTACAGAAAAATTAGGTTGCAGGACCAATAAACTTAATTGAGAATTCCTATTAACAGTTTCAAACTTAAGGGTATTCAGCTTCTGCCATACAACCCTCAGAATTCAGATCAATAAGACAGAAGTAGCGCAGCCTTAGGCTACGAATCTATTTTAAAAACATTAGAGATTCGGCAAGAATTTTGGCAGGTTAGACTTTGAAAAAGGTACAGAACAGACATGGTTTAAGAAAATTACGGGTAAATCAACCCAGCTAATACTGGAAAAAAGATTGTTCAAAACAAGCCCATTGTTGATGCTGGGAAGGGAATATTTAGGTAAACAAGCTAATGCACTCTTTTATTTTGCCGTATAAAACTTCGTGACCTCAATTATTCAAATTTGGGGTCTTTAGCGAGTGGTTGGCTTGCATAAAATGGCGAAATGGAAGGTTACATCGATTATGTTAAAACGCAATAAGGAGCACAATGTACAGGACCTGGACAACTTTCCTTTGGAAAATATTGAATTGTCATGCACGGCGAGTGCGTGTAGAAATTGTCAGCTCGTTCGGCTTAGTACCTCCGAAGACATTAATCCTCAAAGCTATAAAAAGAAAACTGACACTGCATGAAGTTAAATAAAAGTATGGAAAAAAAAGACATCCAACATGCACCTAACATGGTCTAGAAAGGGGGTACAACCGCAAATCCTACAGCAAGCCAAGCAAGGTCGCCACTCACCACTTACAAAAGCAGTCCCCTCCGTGAAGAGCAGATGCGGTGTGCCGTCTGTTCCCTCCTTTATATAGAGGGAGCGCACGTCACGTGGTACAATCACGCGTGTTTGCCTTCCCATCCCTGGCCAATCATCGCGAGACAATCAGCATGATGATTCACTAATTGGATGGGTGGCGCTTCCTGCACGCGTTCCGATTCTGCGTGAGACTCCGTTAACGAGCCCAGCCACGCGCGCTATGGCCTCGTAGACGCAATCACGGCCCCCAAGTGAGTATATGTTGAGAGTCCATTGAGGGAGCTCACATCACGTGACGTAATTACGCGCACGTGCCTCCGCCCATCTTCCCCTCTAGGCCAATCATCGGGAGCCAATCACCGCGAGGATTCGCTCATTGCACGCGCGCCCATTGTGTGAGGCGTCGTTCATGAGCCGAGCTATTGGCACGCGCCTCGTTAATGCAATCACGGTCCCGATACCAGGCCGTGAGAGTCAATTGAGTTGTGTATTCAAGTGATTTAAACGTTTATTTTCTCTTTAACATGGTCCACACGAAATTGTTCAAATTATATTCTTAGGTTTTTTCGGTAAAGTCACGTAGGTGAAACATCAAAATTAATAAAAATAAATAAAATAAAACAAAAATCACGACGTTTCGGAGGCAACACAAGTCTCCGTCATCAGGTGGGACCGTCACAGATGACGGAGACTTGTGTTGCCTCCGAAACGTCGTGATTTTTGTTTTATTTTATTTTTATTAATTTTAATGTTTTACCTACGTGACTTTACCGAAAAAAACCTAAGAATATGAATCCTTGCAGTCACGAAAGCTTCAAATCTAGAATTGTTCAAATTACCCTTGCTACCATCACCATCTGTAATTCAGGTTGGTAATAAGTGCCTTATCGACTGAACTGAACGTGCCTCTGGAATTTTTAATTTTACTCATTTGTTTAATTGTGGAATGCTTTGATTTGTTTGCTGGCCTGGTCTCCCTTGAACACGTTTCTTCAGAGTGGGCAAGTAGGAACTTGGTGAGACAGCGCATTCGTGCGATCCGTGAGCTGCGTGACACATATTCAGGGCGTGGCTATGCACGACAGACAGACAGACAAATAATCCCTGGTGGGCAGTGTGGAACTGTTGTTCCTTCCTGTATAAACGCGTTGTCAAACCCGCCACTACCCGACACAGCGAATCAGTAAGATCTGTCACGTAAACAGAACGTGCCAATGTGTTACTCGTAAAGCATTAGTGTATGGTTTAGTGTATAGTTTAGTGTATAGTGAACTGTATAGTGTCGTGTATAGTAGTGTAGTGTATAGTGTAGTGTATAGTGAAGTATAGTGTCGTGTATAGTGTAGTGTATAGTGTAGTGTATAGTGAAGTATATAGTGTGTTGTATAGTGTAGTGTATAGTAGTGTATAGTGTAGTTTTTTGTGTAGTGTATAGTAATGTAGTGTTTAGTTCAGTGTATAGTGGAGTGTACAGTGTAGTATACTCGTACACCACACCAGCAAAGTTTGTGTTTAATAATATCAATTTTCTATCCTTTTGAGGCATAAGCAATTACAAAATAACACTTACTACCCAGGAACAAAAGTCGTGTTACAGAGTGAGTAGTCGTCACTTGGAGGGGAGATGAAGGTTGAGGAGAGGCTTGCGGAGCCCCAATTCGGTTTCAGGAAAGGGCGGTCCTGCACAGATGCCATATTTTCTGTCCGTCTGCTACAGCAGAGGTGTAGGGAATTCCAACAAGACCTACATCTCTGCTTTATTGACCTGGTCAAGGCCTATTACACCATCAGTAGGCATGGGCTCTGGGGTGTTCTTCGTGCTTTCGGAGTCCCTGACCCTCTGCTTACAATCATTAAGGACCTTCGTGATGGTGAGCTACGTAGCCGGGAGTCACAGCCATTTCCTGTACACCTTGGGGTGCAACAGGGATGTCATCTTGTTCCCACATTATTTAATATCTATTTCGACCACGTAATTTGTGAAGCCTTTGATGGCTGTATCGGAGGAATTTCCATCTGGTGCAGATACAATGGGAGGCTGATCGATGCCCGGGTGCAGTCAAGGGATGGCTCCCTATTGGTCAACCACGTTATGTATGCCGATGATCTGGTAATTGCCGCTCACTCAGAGGAGGAGTTGGAGGCGCTTCTGCTGAACCGTGCCATTAAGAGGTGGGGCCTTACCATCAGCCCCACCAAAACTAAGCACTTGCCTGAGCATTTTGTACCATCGGACACTCCACCCCCACAACTCCCAATTGGTGATGGGGCAGTTGTGGAGAGAGTGTGGAGTTTCCCATACCTGAGCAGTGCGCTCGTGACTGGCTCCGGTTTGACAGCAGAGGTCTCACTCCGAATCAGTCGAGCGGCATTATCTTTTCATCGGTTGCGTAATGCTCTGTGGAAGCTACCTGGTCTGTCGCTCCGCACGAAGCTTCGGGTCTTCTCGGCCAAAGTCATTCCCTCCCTTCTCTACGCTTGCGAAACGTGGACCCCCCTAATGTAACATCTTCGCCAGTTAGAAACATTTAGGCTGGCTTGCCTACGATCTATCCTGGGTTTAACCAGGCTGGATTGTGTGAGGAGCTCACAAATCCTTGAAAGATCTGGAAAAAGTCCCATTGGTGAGCTCCTATGGCAGGCAAGGCTGCGTTGGCTGGGTCATGTAGCCCGAATGCCCAGCCACCGCATGCCTAAACAGCTTTTGTTCGGCCGGATAGTGGGGGCTAAATTGGCGTGGTACGGACTAGAGAAGAGATGGAGTGATAGGGTACAGGAGGACGTGGAGCTGAGTGGACTTGCCGATGACTGGTACAAGTGGTGTCAAGATCGGCCTCTGTGGAGGAGGCTCGTGAAGGACGCTACTGGGCAGTTGGAGGCAGTCGCCCTCTAACAACAACAGAGGGCGGAGGAGCGACGCTCACAACAACGAGTGGTACGCCGTGAGTCTAAAGGACAGCAAGTTAGCACAGTAGGGGGCACAGGTGGTGCAACAGCCAGTCTGCCCCGTGACCTCCTGCCAGCGGGCGTTCGACACTTCATGTGGCCTCAAGATGAACATAGCCTGGCCCAAGCGTCGTGGTGACGTCACCGACAACTTAGTGGAAAATGGCGGTTATAGTTGTTGTTGTGTATGAGACACGGGCTCTGTGTGAGACACGGGGAGAGACATAGGGAGATACATAGGGATACGGCTGACTCCACATCGACAACGGGCTTTGTCAGGGTCGGGGATCGAACCAACGACCTTCTGTAGACCAGGCGAGGTAGTTAACATCTCACCAGGGACGTGTGGACAGGGGAGGCAGGGGAGTCAGAGCCTCACCTGTCATACTTTAATGGAAATAGTTGTTACGAAAAGTAAAAAAAAAAGAATAATCAAATAACATAAATATTAAGATGTTTCGACTGATCTGTGTTATAAATGTAATTTCTGTACGATTCCAATCATCTTCTTCTACGTGACTTTACCGAAAGAACCAAGAAGATGAATCCCTGCAGTCACGAAAGCTTTACATCGAGATTCCAATCATTTTAATTGTAAAAATCGGCAAATTTGCGGAGCTCCGCTGCAAATACAGGAAGAGACGAGAGCTGAGGCAGCGACGAGCTCAGCCTCCCCTCTGATTGCGCAACCCCTCAGCAACTGGATGTAGCTCGGGCAATAAGCGCGTGCCTGTTACTATCTCAGTATGTCACCAATGTAATGTTTGTAGACCCCTTCGTTTCATGTCCTCGCCTTCCATACTCCAGGTAACTTATTTCACGTATATGTATAAAGACATTTAGGCTGGCTGGTCTCGTCATGAAACTGCAATGAAAAAGCACCAGGGGAGGCAGCTATCACATCTGCCTCACTGAGGGGGGCGTGTCTAACACGCGCCCAAAGTGTGTGAATCTGGCTCTGACACGAGCCAGTGACTCCCCAGCCATTGACCTCACCGCACGTCACTGCATCTCACCACATTGATGATGATGAGAGAGAGAGAGAGAGATGCTGACATCGTCAGGGTAGAGATGGAACCCACGCCCTCCTGCGTACCAGGCGAGATAATCAACATCTCGTCACTACAGCCCTCGAGAGATGGAAGCACCGAGAGAGGCCCTTCCGTGGGTATTTTTGGGGCTCCTATTCCACGCTTCGCCAACGAGGTTGTAAGAGGTGGGGGTAGTCACACCTCACACAACACCTTAATCTCATCACATCGTGCTGGTATGCAGCCGTGAAACGCAAATAGAATGATGTGGCAACACACTGCGGTACCTAATAAACACCACGAGCTCGGTCTTTAAATCCTGTGTGTGTGTTGTGTGACCACGCATCACATCAATCACTCCCTTTCATTGTAAAGGTCACCGATGACGCCGATCACTTAGCCACTTCCGACGTTCTTTCAGCTCTCTCTCTTCAGTCGCCGCCGCTGAAGCGAGCGCACGGGGAGATGTTCCTGAGCGGTTTGGTGAAAACCGACATCGAATAAACCGCAGCGCAGAGGAAGGAAAAATCACCGACGTGGGGCGAGCGAACAAAATGTGTGTGAGACACGGGCTGTGTGTGAGACACTGACTGTGTGTGAGACACTGACTGTGTGTGAGACACTGACTGTGTGTGAGGCACTGACTGTGTGAGAGACACTGACTGTGTGAGAGACACTGACTGTGTGTGAGACACTGACTGTGTGTGAGACACTGACTGTGTGAGAGACACTGACTGTGTGTGAGACACTGACTGTGTGTGAGACACGGGCTGTGTGTGAGACACTGACTGTGTGTGAGACACTGACTGTGTGTGAGACACGGGCTGTGTGTGAGACACGGGCTGTGTGTGAGACACTGACTGTGTGTGAGACACTGACTGTGTGTGAGACACGGGCTGTGTGTGAGACACTGACTGTGTGAGACACTGACTGTGTGTGAGACACTGACTGTGTGTGAGACACGGGCTGTGTGTGAGACACGGGCTGTGTGTGAGACACGGGCTGTGTGTGAGGCACTGACTGTGTGAGACACGGGCTGTGTGTGAGACACGGGCTGTGTGAGAGACACGGGCTGTGTGTGAGACACGGGCTGTGTGTGAGACAGGGGCTGTGTGTGAGACACTGTGTGTGAGACACGGGCTGTGTGAGAGACACTGACTGTGTGTGAGACACGGGCTGTGTGTGAGACACGGGCTGTGTGTGAGACAGGGGCTGTGTGTGAGACACGGGCTGTGTGTGAGACACGTGTTGTGTGTGAGACACGGGCTGTGTGAGAGACACGGGCTGTGTGTGAGACACTGGCTGTGTGTGAGACACGGGCTGTGTGTGAGACACTGTGTGTGAGACACGGGCTGTGTGTGAGACACTGACTGTGTGTGAGACACTGACTGTGTGTGAGACACGGGCTGTGTGTGAGGCACTGACTGTGTGAGACACGGGCTGTGTGTGAGACACGGGCTGTGTGAGAGACACGGGCTGTGTGAGAGACACTGACTGTGTGTGAGACACGGGCTGTGTGTGAGACACGGGCTGTGAGTGAGACACGGGCTGTGTGTGAGACACGGGCTGTGTGTGAGACACGGGCTGTGTGTGAGACACGGGCTGTGAGTGAGACACTGACTGTGTGTGAGACACTGACTGTGTGTGAGACACTGGCTGTGTGTGAGACACTGACTGTGTGTGAGACACGGGCTGTGTGTGAGACACGGGCTGTGTGTGAGACACGGGCTGTGTGTGAGACACTGACTGTGTGTGAGACACGGGCTGTGTGTGAGACACGGGCTGTGTGTGAGACACGGGGAGAGATATATGATGATGTGAAACAGGGAGACACGGCAGACCTCACATCGACAACGGGTTTCGTCAGCTTCCGGGATCGAACCCACGACTTCCTGCGTGCCAGGCGAGGTAGTCAACATCTCGCCATCGACGTTGTAAGAGGAAGTGGGTGGCCGCACCTCACACCAAACCGTTCAGGTATGTAGACCTGGAATGCCTATTGAATGGTTTGTCAACAAACTGCGGTGCCTAGCAAATTCAGTGGGGTAAGTCTCTCTCTCGTGTCTTTGTGTGACCACGCATCGCCTCGACACACTCCCTTCCAGTATAAAGGTCTCCGACGACGCCGATGACTTGGCCACATCCGTCGTTCATTCAGCTCTCTATCTCTCTTCGGTCGGCGACGCTTAAGCGAGCGCACGGGGAGATGTTCCAGAGCGGTTTGGAGCGACCGACAGCGAAGAAGGAAAATCACCGACGTGGGGCTGGCGGGCGTCAAAAATGAATCTTCCGTCGTGTTTCATCTCCCTGCAATTGTTCGCGACGCTGGTGAGTGAACTTACGCACGGCGCCTTCGCAAAGCGGAGGACGCTTGGTGTGGTCTGGGACTGTTGTTGTTGTTGTGTTGGTGTGGTCTGGGACTGTTGTTGTTGTTGTTGTTGTGTTGGTGTGGTCTGGGACTGTTGTTGTTGTTGTGTTGGTGTGGTCTGGGACTGTTGTTGTTGTTGTTGTCTTGGTGTGGTCTGGGACTGTTGTTGTTGTTGTCTGGGACTGTTGTTGTTGTTGTCTGGGACTGTTGTTGTTGTTGTCTTGTTGTGGTGTGGGACTGTTGTTGTTGTCATCATCAGGTGTGAAAACCACAGCAAGAACACTTTCTTGCTGTGTGATGATGATTGCTTGTGTTGCAATCGAAACGTGGTGAGAATTTTATTGTGTTATCTTTATCATTTTATTATTTCCCTTCTACGCGACTTTACCGAAAGCTTTAAAAAGAAATATCATTTCGGGTGATACATTGTTCTTAAGTTTCTCTGCCACGGCAGAGTGTTCAAAAATGAAAACTCACCAATTGAATTATCGGATAAGTCACTCACAATGATGCACAACTGCTGACGATTTCAATTGTTATTCTTTCAATTGAGAATGTTCGACCGACGGATGATGCACATGCTCAGTGATAAGATCACATTCCTGGCACCCACCCAGCAGAAGAATCAATCAACCAATCAACATCAATCAAACTCAGCCCCACTAAGTGGATGATTGCAGGCCACGGCCAATCAACATCACTCAAAGTCAGCCCCACTAAGTGGATGATAGAGCCACAGCCAATCAGCATCAATCAAACTCAGGCCCACTAAGTGGATGATAGCAGAGCCACAGCCAATCAGCATCAATCAAACTCAGGCCCACTAAGTGGATGATAGCAGAGCCACAGCCAATCAACATCAACCAAACGCAGCCCCACTAAGTGGATGATAGCAGAGCCATAGCCAATCAACATCAACCAAACGCAGCCCCACTAAGTGGATGATAGCAGAGCCACAGCCAATCAAGATCAATCAAAGGCAGCCCCACTAAGTGGATGATATCAGAGCCACAGCCAATCAACATCAACCAAACGCAGCCCCACTAAGTGGATGATAGCAGAGCCACAACCAATCAACATCAACCAAAGTCAGCCCCACTAAGTGGATGATAGCAGAGCCATAGCCAATCAACATCACTCAAACTCAGGCCCACTAAGTGGATGATAGAGCCATAGCTAATCGACATAAATCAAACTCAGACCCACTAAGTGGATGATAGAGCCACAGCCAATCAACATCAATCAAAGTCAGCCTACTAAGTGGATGATATCAGAGGCATAGCCAATCAGCATCAATCAAACTCAGCCCCACTAAGTGGATGATAACAGAGCCACAGCCAATCAACATCAATCAAACTCAGCCCCTCTGTGTGTAAAGATATTGCAACTTCTGTACTGCAGATGCGAGCACGCGGATTTCACATTAACCGGAGCAACACATTTGTTCGGGATGAAGCAGCGTGTGACCTGTCAATAAACATTTCCAACCTCAAAATAAAGCTTTCTCTGGTGTGGACCAATCAGTTTCAAAGACAATGCATCATATTATCAGAGCGTGGTTTTTGTTTGCATTTTGACCACAAGTATTGTGGTTAATGCGGACATTATTCCTTGTAAAAGGTTTCAGTTTGGTGTTTTAACATATTAACACCTGTTTTGTTGCCAGATAAAAGGGGAAAAACCTATTCTCATTTCCAAGATATAAGTGCATAACTGTTTTTAGATAATATATTTTGGCTGAAGGGAAAAATCCACGAGTTATTAATTTGTTAAACACGTAGGCTTTCGCGACCAGTATTATCTATATATATAAAATCGCAAATCTGTCTGTCTGTCTGTGTGTCGCCGGACCATACGCAGTTTCATTGGACGGCGGTTGCCCCTGGCAACGGGTAGCGACGCATTCGCTGCGGGGTGGACGCCATTTTTAATTCCTGTTAAAAATATGCGCACGCATTAACACGCGACTCTGAGGTAAATTCATCAAAGTTTCACGTCCTCTTCACTCCCCCCCCACCACAATGTGTGCAATTACTATTATAGGGTCGGTAGATAATAAAATTATAGCGATTAGACAGTATTATTGTAGCGCGGGGGGGGGGGGGACGGCACCCGTACCCAGCCTCAGCCGGGTGGGCAATTTAGGCGAGGCCGGAGGCTCTGCACGGTACTAGGCCTCGACACCCCACCACACTATAGGCTGTACATATTACTGCACAGCGGCCGAGGAGATCGTGGCTGGGGGGGGGGGGGGGGGCAGGGGTAGCAGCCCATCTGTGTATATATGTAAGGTTATTAAGAAATATATTTTTCACCCGGGCAACGCCGGGTACTTATGCTAGTTCATAATAAAGGTGTTTGGGTTAGATCGCGTTATTAAAAAATGTGTCGCAACCCTCCACCACCCGACAAAATAGTTCACTACTTTAGTTAAGTGGCTGATTACTGACCTATTACATAATTGCATTCACCCCCGCCTCTGATCTCGAATCCTGATGGGGTTCTACAATGATGACGTCATCCTGCACTATTTAAGACCGGAAGCAAATGGATGACTTCACTATTCCGGCAAATCGCCCGAAGATGCTGGATGTGATTACCAGCGAAACGTCGTACCGCTCAAATTGTAAACGTTGTCGATTCACTCCTCAAACACACCGGCGGGATGAAGAAGTAACTAATTGGCGTTTTGTCAACGTGACACATTTCTTACCGATTGGCCGTGTCGGGTGGTGGAGGGTTGCGACACATTTATAAATAACGCGATCTAACCCAAAAACCTTTATTATGAGTTATTAATTTACGTCGAAATCTCGCGTAAACCTGCACGCGAATAGCCGAGTCTAATTCACTCATGCAATTTGTGCTTAAATACTTTACTTGTATTTATTCATTAATGTCTAGTGGCATGCTTACGTTTTCAATATTTTGCACTCCCATCGGTGTGTGTATTGTGTGTGTGTGTGTATTGTGTGTGTGTATTGTGAGTATATTGTGTGTGTGTGTATTCATCTTCTTGGTTCTTTCGGTAAAGTCACGTAGAAGGGAAGTAATAAAATAATAAAAATAAAACATAATAAAACAATTCTCACGACGTTTCGGCCACAACGCAAGCAGCCGTCCTCAGGTGAAGAATGAGACAATGCCAAGCTAGGAGCTTATATATAAGCTGCGTTGGAGGTGGAAGAAAGAGCGCCTTAACAAAAGAATGTGCATATGAAGAGGAATTTAGCATATACATGGAATATGCTAAATTCCTCTTCATATGCACATTCTTTTGTTAAGGCGCTCTTTCTTCCACCTCCAACGCAGCTTATATATAAGCTCCTAGCTTGGCATTGTCTCATTCTTCACCTGAGGACGGCTGCTTGCGTTGTGGCCGAAACGTCGTGAGAATTGTTTTATTATGTTTTATTTTTATTATTTTATTACTTCCCTTCTACGTGACTTTACCGAAAGAACCAAGAAGATGAATCCCTGCAGTCACGAAAGCTTTAAATAGAAATGTGTGTGTATTGTGAGTATATTGTGTGTGTGTGTGTATTGTGTGTGTGTGTATTGTGAGTATATTGTGTGTGTGTCTATTGTGTGTGTATGGTGTGTGTTGTTGTAACTTGTTGAGCCCCGCATTCCTCCCTCCCTCAACAGAGCAATCGCTTATCGCTGCACTTATGTATAAGCTCCCCCCCCCCCCTCGTTCACCAAACTGCACAGGAACAAAGTGATTGATGTACGTGGTTGATCAAAAGGCCACTGCCGTACCTGTGCCACTCGCTTAAGATGGGCCCTAGCTGGTAAATGGAAGCAAGTTTTAGTTTAGCCTATGGGCCTCCATGTATCTCTATGGGTCTCTATGAATCTATATGGGTCTTTATGGATCTGTGTGTGTCTCTTATGAGTCTCTAGGCGTTTCTGTGGGTCTGTATGTATGTCAATGGGCCTCCATGTATTTATATCTGTCTCTATGTATGTCTGTGGGTCTTTATGGGTCTCTGTATCTTTATGGGTCTCTATGCATCTGTGTGTCTCTTATGGATTATGTATGTGTCTCTGTCGGTTTATGTATGTCTCTGTGGGTACCTATGTATTTCTGTGGGTCTCAATGTTTCTCTATGGGTCTCTGTATCTCTGTGGGTATCTATGTACTTCTATGGGTGTCTATGTGCCTCTGTGGATCTCCATGTATCTCTGTTGGTCTCTATGTATCTCTATGGGTCTCTACATATATATATATGTGGGTCTCTATGTGCCTCTATGGGTGTTTACGTATCACGGTGGGTTTCTATGTAAATCTGTAGGTTTATCTGCATCTCTATGGGTGTTTATGTTTCTCTATGAATCTCTATGCGTCTCTATGGGGTCTCTGTGTATCTCTACCCGTCTAGATTATTTGGCTGCCGCTATAAATGTCAACGTCGTGACGATATCAGCCCAGTTGGTTGAGCTGCTATCATTACGTGTGGTGACCAGGGGTCTCTTCTGAACTAAATAGGTGCAGTTTATTGTATCTATCTATTTGGGGCTCTGTGTTTCTTTATGGTTTAGAGCAGGGGTGGGGAACGTCCGGCCCGCGGGCCGTATGAGGCACCGCGAAATCATTTGAGTCTGGCCCTGCCAAGGCAACCGCAGGCGGGACTCGAAATTCAATAAATCTATAGGAGCAAATCTGGAAAAGCAGTTGCGAGTAGCAGCAACATCATCAATAGCCAGCTAACATCACACGCCTCGCCAAAAAGAAGCAGTTCCAGCCCATCGCATTAGGGGTGAGTTCATTAAATGTTTGACCAAATATAACGGAGCCCGTTCATAAATGACGTCACGCGATTTTGGACGATTTTTGCCCCCCCCCCCCATCGTCACACGGCGTCACAAAAAGTCAGACCCCCCAACCCTGAAATATGACGTCAAAAAGCTCTGCCTCCCCCCCCCAAAAAATAAAACATGCTTCAAATCGCTTTAAACTATTGTCATTGTAGTGCGCATTTAATGCGCCGCTGCAATCTGATGTTGTAGGAGTAAATATTTATGAAAACGTCTATTTAATTAAGTAGAACGTGTTGTCTATATTTATTTAAAGTTGCGCATTTTGATGTGACGTTACATTTCTTAACAACCCCCCCCCCCTGTCACACATCGTCACAAATGTCTGACCCCCCCTAGGTGCGTGACGTCATTTATGGACGGCCCCAAAGGCAAATTTTTAAGTTGATAATTTCGTATGGCCCGCGAATAATGTTATAAATATCCAAATGGCCTTTGGCCGAAAAAAGGTTCCCCACCCCTAGTTTCGAGCTATAAGGAGGTGTTTGTGACAAACGTATTGTGAGTGAGTGCAACGGTCTGGTATGCAGGCGGTCGTGGGTTTTCCCCGACTCTGTCGCCTGCTGTTTATTTGGAGTCTGCTTCTCTCTCTCCCTGTGGTCTCGTAGATTTTATCTCCAGGTCCTCCAGTGTTTCCCTCCACATTTAGAATCAACGGCACCACGCGTTTAAATTATTTGGCTGTTGCTGTAAACGTCATCGTCGTGATGATATCAGCCACTTTGTTGAGCTTCTATCATTGCGTGTGTTGCCCAGGGGTCTCTTCTGAGCAAAATAGGTGCAGTTTATTGTATCTCCCTATATGGGGTTCTATTTTCTTTATGGTTTAGAGCTACAAGGAGGTGTTTGTGACAAACGTATTGTGAGTGTCACAGTCTGGTATGCAGGCGGTCGTGGGTTTTCCCCGACCCTGTCACCTGCTGTATATTTGGAGTCTGCGTCTCTATCCCTGTGGTCTCGTAGATTTTGTCTCCAGGTCATCCAGTGTTTCCCTCCACATTTAGAATCAACGTCACCACGCTTAGATTATTTGGCTGTTGCTGTAAATGTCCACGTAGTGCTGATGATCATGACGATATCAGCCCAGTTGGTTGAGCTGCTATCGTTACGTGTGATGGCCGGAGTCGCTTCTCAACAAAAGAGCTACCACATAGCAGCTCAGTCTTGGGGCCTTACATCTGGTGAAAATCAACGTCGTTTAGTTTTAATATTGGTCCCCATGTATCTCTGTGGATCTCTATGTATCTCTACGGTTCTCTGTGTATCTCTGTGGGTCTCTATGTATTTCTGTGGGTCTCTATGTATCTCTGTGGGTCTCTATGTATTTCTGTGGGTCTCTATGTGCCTCTGTGGGTCTCTATGTATCTCTGCGGTTCTCTGTGTATCTCTGTGGGTCTCTATCTCTGTGGGTCTCTATGTATCTCTGTGGGTCTCTATGTATCTCTGCGGGTCTCTATGTGTCTCTGTCGGTCTCTATGTATCTCTGCGGGTCTCTGTGGGTCTATGTATCTCTGTGGGTCTCTATGTATCTCTGTGGGTCTCTATGTATCTCTGTGGGTCTCTGTGGGTCTCTGTCGGTCTCTATGTATCTCTGCGGGTCTCTATGTATCTCTGTGGGTCTCTATGTATCTCTGCGGGTCTCTATGTGTCTCTGTCGGTCTCTATATATCTCTGCGGGTCTCTGTGGGTCTCTATGTATTTCTGTGGGTCTCTATGTATCTCTGTGGGTCTCTATGTATCTCTGTGGGTCTCTGTGGGTCTCTGTCGGTCTCTATGTATCTCTGCGGGTCTCTATGTGTCTCTGTCGGTCTCTATGTATCTCTGCGGGTCTCTGTGGGTCTCTATGTATTTCTGTGGGTCTCTATGTATCTCTGTGGGTCTCTATGTATCTCTGCGGGTCTCTGTGGGTCTCTGTGGGTCTCTATGCATCTCTGTGGGTCTCTATGTATCTCTGTGTGTCTCTATGTATCTCCATTAATCTCTATAGGCCTCTGCATCTACATTATTTGGCTGCCGCTGTGAATTTCCACGCGGTGATGATATCAGCCACTTGGTTGCGCCGATATCATTGGGTGCGGTGGCCAGGGGTCGCTTCTGAACAAGCATAGCAGCTCAGTGGTGGGGGCCTTACACCTTGTTAAATAAATACATATTTTGTTTAGTTTATGAGTCTCTAAGTATCTCTATGGATCTCTTTATGGATTCACCATTTTATCATTTACCATGGTAAATGTTTTTTGGTCCTCATTGCTTATCTTTGGAATTTGAACTGGACGCAGTTTTAGCTTAAATGGCATATTATGAGAACGTCTTTTTTCACGTTTCCTGTTGTCTGCAGATACTTCCCTCTAAAAGTGCGACGATCAGCAACAGGCCACAAGAGGTAAGACGCAAACAAAAATGTGTGACCAGCAAGAATATTGCCGGGCTCGTCAATTGCACAACAGCATCTCGAAGCGCCCTGGATCACTTTTCAAGCGGGACGATTCACGTGAACATTACGTCCAGCTCATCACTGACACCCATTCACATCCGCCCCACTGTGTGCGGCGACTTTTGAAGTGGGGTGGGTAGGGTTATAGCCAATACCAGTACCCGCCATTAGTGACGAAGTGACGTCACCACAGTATTAGTACTCCCCTCATTAAAATGCAAATCAATTTGTAACATTTTTGACATGCGTTTTTCTGGATTTTGTTGTTGTTATTCTGTCTCTCACTGTTCAAATAAACCTACCGTTAAAATTATAGACTGATCATTTCTTTGCCAGTGGGCAAACGTACAAAATTAGCAGGGGATCAAATACTTTTTTCCCTCACTGTATGTGCTTCTACGGGTATCTATGTGTCTCTGTGGGTCTCTATTAATGTATATGGGTCTCTGTGTATCTCTGTGGGTCTCTTTGTATCTCGGTTGGTCTCTGTGTTTCTCTATAGGTCTCTATGGATTTCTATTTGTCTCTATAAGTCTCATTGTGTCTCTGTGGGTCTTTATGTATCGTTGTGGGTCTATATGTGTCTCTGTGTGTCTCTGTCGGTCTTTATGTATAGTTGTGGGTCTATATGTGTCTCTGTGGGTCTCTTTGTATCTCTATGGGTCTCTGTTGGTCTCTGTGTATATCTATAGATCTCTATAGATTTCTATTTGTCTTGATAAATCTCTATGTGTCTCTGTGGGTCTTTATGTATCGTTGTGGGTCTATATGTGTCTCTGTGGGTCTCTATGGATCTATATGCGTTTAGAGTATTGGGCTGCTGCTCTAAATGTCAACACATTGATGATGACATCAGCCACTTGGTTGAGCTGCTATCATCATTTGTGATGGTCAGGGTCGCTTCTGAACAAAACAGCCACTTACACAGAAGCTCACTGGGGCCTCGTTACACCTGGTAACATAAATTGTTTTGGTTGTTACATTTTCCTTGTCTTGAATGTTTTTTTCCACGCAGGTTTTGAAAGGCGGATGTAACGAAACAACGCACTACTCGTCAAAACATGGCATCTGCTGCGAGCTCTGCCCAGCAGGTAACGCGCACAGACTGAAAGGCCTGAGTCAAATACCACCATAGAAAGGTTTTAATGTAGATTCATTGGACTTCTTTCGCACTGCACGTAGCCAACGGTGGCTAATCGGCAGTGCGGTGTTGAGACTGTGGACAGTGTTGAATCTATGGGTAGTTCAATCTAGATTTGAAGTTTGTTGTGACTGCAGGGATCCATACTCTTTGGTTCTTTCGGTAATGTCACGTAGGTAGAAAATATAAAATAAATTAAATCACGATGTTTCGGGCACAACGCAAGTGCCCGTCATCAGGTGGAACAACCACAGCAATAAATAATTGCTGAAGCGGGCAAGAGGAGGCTGCCTTATGGTTTATATTCACATCCGCATCTCCAGTCTTTTACTCCCAGGCAGTGGCGGCTCCTGCAAAATCTCTCAGGGGGGGCGATTGTCTGGATGATTGATAAGGATAAGGTCCACCCATGCAATAGATAAATTAACAGCTTAAGCATGTAAAGGCAACTTCACTTCTTTAATATTAATGAAAAATAAAGTGACTCTTACAATACATCTCCTTGTTTGTTTCTATACTCACTATTAATACAATCCACTCAAGTTTCTTTTATTAAAGATTCCACTAGGTGGCGACAAATTATATTGTTGGATGAAACGTTCTTAATTATGATGACGTTAGCACGTATGATGACGTAAGCACGTTAGTGCGAGCCCTCCCGGAGCCATAGAGAATGCATTGCAGCGCCCCCCGTTCGAAAAAAAACATCTTTGAATGTAAGTCTATGGGGCCACTCGGGGCGATTCTCAGCCGTAGTGAAATCGCCCAAAAAGAGGCGGTACTCCACAGAACGTGACATGACGCTGATTGGACTATATCCAGAGGCTGACAGTGACGGCTAGCGTGACTCTGTGGTTCAATGACATTGGTGGTGCGTCGCCCAATCGCCCTAATGAAGAAACCGCCCCGGCTCCCAGGCCTGCTCACTCCCATCACTTGGAAATTTGCTGCGCAGTGTTTCGAGCTTGCAGAGCTCACTCCCCCAACCCCCCCCCCAACGGTTCACAGCTTTAGTTTGAACTCTAGCATCATCCTTGCCGCTCTCCCCCAGCTCACGGCCCGCTCCCACACTCACCTTGGCCCCCCCCTCAGCTATATAATCCTTTGTCACAGCCATCTCTTAGGCATACTTCAGCGATTGTTTTTTCACTGTGGTTGTCCCCACCTGAGGACGGACGCTTGTGTTGTGCCCGAAACGTCGTGATTTCATTTAATTATTTTCAATTTTATTTTACTTTATTTTACCTACGTGACTTTACCGAAAGAACCAAAGAATATCACGAGAGCCCACAGCGTTATAGCAATGGTCGGCCACAGCGGAGGTATTAGTCCTGCCGTGTTTCAGATCTGCCTTGTGCTCGCGATCACGGTCCGACACATGCCGTTTCGTTTCCCCAATGTAATAATCGCCACAGGAGCAACTTAGTTTGTAGACTCGCGGATATTGCATGTCAGGAATGACATCCTTCACAGATGGGATTAGATCACGGATTTTGTGTACTGTACTGAATTGGATCTGGATCTTGTGTTTGTTTAAGATTTTGGCAATCTTTCTAGTAACGCCCGTTATATATGGTAACGTGATGGTTTTAATCGGCGTCTCAGGGGGTTGTTTCTCCATGGTTGGAGAAACTGATTTGCGGATAATGCGGTCTGAATATCCATTGATCTTAAGGGCCTGGTGTACCTGTTCCAGTTCACTGGCTAGGTGGTGTTGGTCAGAAATGCATTGGGCCATATGGTGTAGTGTTTTGATGAGGGAATTCTTCTGTGCCGGATGGTGGTGAGAATCAGGTTTCAGATAGGAATCTGTGTGGGTGGCTTTCCTGTAGACAGAGTGTTCCAAAGAGCCATCAGGTTTCTTCTTAAACTAAACATCCAGGAATGGTAGCTTACCATTCTTCTCTACTTCCATGGTGAATTTGATGGATGGGTATATGGAATTAATGTGGTTGAGAAATTGGTTCAGTGCTGGCAGGCCATGTAGTCAAATGATGAAAGTGTCATCCACATATCTCTTCCAAAAGGATGGATGTAGTGTGGATGTCTGGATGGCATCTGTTTCAAATTTCTCCATGAAAATATTCGCTATCACTGGTGATAAGGGGGAACCCATAGGGGTACCTTCATTTTGTTTGTAGAAAGTACCATTCTAGGTGAAGTACATGTTGGTAAGGCAGTGCCTAGCCAGAATAGGAACATCAGGGCTCAGTCCATGTTGGACTAAATCCTCAATTATTGCTAAGGTGTCAGGCACAGGAACCTTGAACAGAGAGACAACATCAAAGCTGATGAGAAGATTATCTGTGGGACAGTGAAATGCCCTTGATTAGAGAGACCAAGTGAGCTGAGTTATGTACTGCTGAGGTAGTCTTGCCTGTGAATGGAAGCAAGGTATCAGACAGAAAATGGGCCAGTTTGTAGGTAGGTGAGTTGATAGTGGAAACGATGGGCCGAAGTGGAGTGCCTTCTTTATGAATCTTAGGACGACCATAGAATCTGGGTGGTCTAGCCCCAGAAGGTTTTCAGGGAGAGCCGTTTGGCTGGTTCGATTAGAGAAGTCGTGTTTGTTGGTAGCTGCTCATGAAGGACGCTGCTGGGCAGTTGGAGGCAGTTGCCTTCTAGCAACAACTACTATACCCTACACTACTATACACTATACTACTATACACTACACTACTTTACACTACACTACTATACATACCACTAGTATACACTAATATACACTACAATACACAAATATACACTTTTTTACACTATACTACTGTACACTACAATGCACTATACTACTATACATTATGCTACGATAGACTACAATATACACTATATTCTACTATACACTACACTCTATACTACACTACTATACACTATGCTACTATATGCTACAATATACACTATGCACTACTATACACTACACTGTACACTACTATACACTACACTACTTTACACTATCATACATTCCACTACTATGCACTACACTATACACTACACTATACACTACAATACACTACACATGACACTTTTATGTCCTCCGATCCCCCTTTGTGGAAGCTTCGATCACCCCACTCCCTTCAGCCAATCCGCGTCCTCCTCCTCAAATGGCTGTCAACCCTCGCTATACACTACACTATACACTACACTATACACTACTACTATACACTACTACTATACACTACACTATACACTACTACTATACACTACTACTATACACTACACTATACACTACACGATACACTACACTATACACTACTACTATACACTACACTATACACTACACTATACTATACACTACACTATCCACTACACTATCCACTACACTATCCACTACACACAACACTAAACGCTACGCTTGTATATCCTCAGAACCCCCTTTGTGGAAGCTTCACTCATCTCACTCCCTTCAGCCAATCCGCGTCCTCCTCCTCCTCCTCCAACGGCTGTCAACCATCGCCCCCCTACAGTCGACCCTCGTTACTCCCCTTTTTTACCTTTGAGTCTCTCCTCCAATCCTCTTCGAGTCTCTCCTCCTGACCAATCGTCTTTGAGGCCTCCCTGCACCAATCAGAGGCCTTGGTGGACTTCCTGACTGTCCGTTCGCACGTGCACGTTTGTGTCAGGTAAGTGGTCTGTTGCTTCGGTCAATGCACCTAAATGTATCTATTCTTTTTGGCACAACAAATAAAAAAACCCCAAAGAATATAAACTACAAACTAATACTGCAGTGTACAGTGTAGTGTACAGGGTATAGTAGTGGATGGGCAGTCCTCGGGTTGCGAACCTAATTCGTTCCTGAGACCCGTTCCGAAGTGGAACGGTTCGCGAGTCTGGAACACAGCAAGGTGGTGAAGGGCAACAAACACCAAAACCTTTTGATTTGTATTCTCGTTCAGTCGGTGCGTCTGTTTCCCTCCTCCCACCCACCCACCCACCACCCCATGCTGCCACCGTGCAGGTAGCAAGAAGTTGATGGATTGCGATTCCAACAAGACCGGCTCGTTCTGCACGGGTTGCCGTGCAGGAGAAGGCTACACGGACGAACCGAACAGCTCCAACGAGTGCAAGAAGTGCACCGTTTGCAACGTGACTTGTAAGAGGGGAGGGTGTTTTTTGTGAATTCGGGGAATCGAGGGGTTTGCGTGATTCACGCTACCTCGCCTGGTACACGGGCAATCGTGGGTTCGATTCCAACCCTGGCACCTTCGTTCCGCATGGCCGCGTACGCGAGCGGTTGCGCTGCGTGCGATCACACTCACCAATGTACTACCCATGTATGGCGGTGGTGGTGGTGATGGGGGTGGTGTTGTTCTGCAGCCGAAGACACTGAGAGGAGATGCACCACCAAGGAGGACACTCGCTGTCGCTGTAGAGACGGCTTCCAGAGGGCTGCCCCATTGGACCCCTGCACGGAAGCGAAGGGAGATGCAGGTTCGGATGACCAGGTCACCGCACCCATGCGGCTCTAACGCGCTCACAATCGACGCTGGCGGGTCAGTGGAGTGTATAGAGGTGTAGTGTATAGTGGTGTATTGTATAGTGTAGTGTATAGTGTATAGTAGTGTAGTATATAGTGTAGTGTATAGTTGTGTAGTGTATAGTAGTGTATAGAGGCGTAGTGTATAGTAATGTAGCATATAGTGTAGTGGATAGTAGTTTAGTATATAGTGTAGTGTATAGTAGTGTAGTGTATAGTGTAGTATTGTTCGGGTCTTTTGGAAAAGTCACGTAGATAGGTTCAAAATAATAAAAAATAAACAAAAACTACGACGTTTCAATCGCAAAACAAGCGAATCGTCATCAGGTGGAAAAAGGGAGGGGAAGCCACTAAAGGGAAGCTGTTTTAAAGGTTTAAAATGGGCGTAGCCCAAGCGTCCTGGTATCAGGACGAAGCGGGCAAGGCACAAGTGCCCTGGGGCCAGCACGAGCGGAGATGGTTATGTTCATGTGAAATCAGAGAAACAAGAGAAGGGGAGACGCATGGAGAAAATAACAACTTGTGGTACGCCCAACCCAGGCGGGACACCACAGGAACTCTAATTGCTTGTCCCATCTTTAGTAAAATAAAACGAACATCGGAAGGTGACAAGATGGAAACATCACAGCCAGTTATGACTTCAACTGGTTGATGATGCCCTTCCAATGATTGCTGAGTGTGTACCCATCCTCTCGGTTGAAATTGTGTCTCTATCTGTATATATAGATGGCTTCATGAACGAATCTTTGTTGATAGCTAGTGGGCTTGCAAAGTACCTCCATCTTAGAGAAATTAATTTTGTGTTAGCCAACCGCATTAAAACAATGATCCACCACGGCTGAAGTGTAGGTCCTCACGTGTTTCAAATCTGCCTTATGCTCACGAACACGGTCCGAGACATGTCGCTTAGCTTCCCACCTTATGACGGTCGCTTGTGTTGCGATCGAGATGTCGTAGTTTTTTGTTATTTTTTGTTATTTTCTTTGAACCTATCTACGTGGGATGTTGGCTATTAACAACAAGGCAACTCCTACGACCAATTGGGAATGGGACGCAAGCGTAGGATTGATCGCCCTGTCGCTGACCGCCTCTGGGGAGGGTGTATCGTGTGAAAGGCCGAAACACCCTAGGAACTAAAGGTTCACTACTGACGATGCGCTCCATACATTTCACCAGGCTCACTGTTCATGAACTCTTGGAAGTGCTTGCACAAAGGATAGTAACATCTCATCCTGTGTTCTTGGAATTGTGACTTTACCGAAAGACCCAAAGAATAAGAATTCCTGCAGTCACGAAAGCTTCAAGTCAAGGGTCAAACCTATTCTGCAATTTGTAGCGTTAATCTTCGGTTGCGTATGTCATCTTTAGAGCAGGACACAACAAATAATCTTCGTGTTGCAAGTGCTAAGTGTGAAGGCCAACCACCCATACCCCTACCCCAAATCCATTGCTATCCCTCGCGACGTACCAACAACAACAGCAGCCGCTCACCGCTAAGTGGCGGTGACGTCCCCACGGCATCTGTGCCAGGCTAGGTGCACTCTTGGGGCCACGTGAGGTTTCAAAGGCTCCCGTGACCTCGTTGCTACGCAAGAGAGAAACTGATGGCAATCGCACCGCGACAATTCACTCCACCAGTAGTGGTTCTTAGCCTGGGCTTGGCCAGAATATTTTAGGTGAAGTTAAAACTTACTTTGTTTCGTCAAATCCTATGTATTTATTAGACTACACTTTACACTATATAACTAAACTACACTAAAACTACACTACACTACTAGACAATTCACTATGAGCCACTACACAGCACACTACTAGACACAACACATCACACTACTATAGACTACATACAGTACTACAATACACTACACTACTATACACTACACATTACTACACTACACTATACACTACAATATACACTACACTATACACTATTATACACTACTATACACTACACACACGACTATACAATATACACTACACAATACTACACTACACTGTACACTACATACGCACTACACACACACTACACAAAACACTACTATACACTACACTATACACTACACACACTACACTATACACTACTATACACTACATTATACACGACACACACTACATTATACACTACACTATACACTACACTATACATTACTCTACTACACTACACTATACACTACACTATACACTACATTATACACTACACTATACACTACACTACACACTACACTATATACTACTATACACTACACTACACACTACTATACACTACACTATACACTACTATACACTACATTACACACGACACACACTACATTATACACTACACTATACACTACTATACACTACACTATATACTACTCTACTATACGTGTACGATCCTCAGACGTTGCTGGAGCTGTCATCGGTGTTCTCATCGGTGTTGCCATCGGTGCTGTCGTGCTCCTCATTCTACTTGTGGTGACCGTGGGCCTCCTTCTCTACAGAATCTTCCGTAAACGCTTCCCTGGGGTAAGTCGCGGTGGCTAGGAGGATGTTGACTCCCTCGCCCGGTATGCAGGAGGTCGTTGGTTCGATGCTGGACCCTGACGATGCCTGCTGCTGTATATTTAGAGTTTGCTGGTCTCTCTCTCTCTCTCATCATCATCACGGTGTGGTGTAGTGTATATTAGTGTAGTGTATAGTAATGTATAGTATAGTTGTACTGTATAGTGTAGTGTATAGTGTAGTATACTACTTCAGCCCACCACTGTGTTGGAGAGTAAATCCACAACATTTACAGTTTAAGTACCGTCACGTTTTGCTGGTAATTATTTCAACCAGCATCATCGGGCGATGTTCCAGAATAGTGAACATCCTTGAGTGGGTGTGATTTTACATTTCAAATTAATATTTTAAGCCATATGAAGAAGAGAATAATATGATAATCATCGTCATCATCAACATAAGCCCATCAGGACAGGTCTATATGATGTAATGTATAATTTTCAAGAATATATTTGTATATAACAATGGTCTATAATAATGTATCTTTTTCTCTTACATAGAAAGCAGTCACTCTACAAGTGAGACCACACTTTTGAATACGGATGAAGAGGATGTGAATGTAAGTCATTCCACCTCGCTATGTTGATGTGACCTAACCGAAAAACACTCCTGTTATTGATGCCACTGCTGAATGAGAACCTCAGCAGATAGCGTAATTATAATCTGCAGCAACCGGACCGTGTTGACTCTCTAACGAGGTCCCTCAGATCTTTGGATCGCCTTCTTTCTAAGGATTCTGAGGTCAAGACCCTGACCCTGGGGTGATCGGCCTTGTGAGTGGGTGTGTGTGTGGTTGAGTGTGTTAGTGGATGGGTGGGTGAGTGAGTGGGTGGGTGAGTGGGTGAGTGAGTGGGTGAGTGGGTGGGTGAGTGGGTGGGTGGGTGAGTGGGTGGGTGAGTGGGTGAGTGAGTGGGTGGGTGAATGGGTGAGTGAGTGGGTGAGTGAGTGGCTGAATAAGTGGATGAGTGAGTGGGTGTGTGGTTGAGGTGAGTGAGTGGGTGCGTGAGTGGGTGAGTGGGAGGTTGAGTGAGTGGGTGAGAGGTTGAGTGAGTGATTGCCTAAGTGAGTGGGTGCGTAAGTGGATGACTGAGTGGCTGATTGGGTAAATCAACAATTACCCACCTAGTTCTGGCCACCTGCCCTGCACGTTCTGTATGTTTCTTGTCTTCCATACATGCCGTAGTGTTAATAGTCACGTGATCCGGGGGGTCAAAACACACACGAGATCCCAGGTTACTGTTAAAGATGACGTCACGGAGAGAGAGGGAACGCCCACGAGGGGAGCCGTGACGTCACCGGATGAGGCGGGGCGATGGGGGGGGCGGCTTCCTGGCAGGATTTGGAGTGGAGTGGGCCGCACATGGCGTGAGCTCGTGCGGAGAACAGAGGACCTGTGTCGTCTCAACCTTCGTCTGGTGGACTCGTTACACATGGAATGTATTATCATTGCCTTCTTTTAAAAGGCAATTAGCCTTCGTTGTTCCTACCGTGAATATCCTAAAAAAAAAACAAAGGTTGAGCCAAAACGCACGGTTGTATTTTCATCTATAATCAAAGCACTCGGCATATATTTACGCGCGCATCTTTCCCGTCACGGTGTGTTCAGTGATGGAGCTATACCACGATTTCTGACGCAAGATGCGCCATTGGCAGCTGATCGCTTTGTGTGTTTGACCGGTGGTTCTCAAATCTGATCATTAAAAAACAGCCTGCCGTGTGATAGCTACAACGCACAGCAGCAATCTGAGATCAACGTTTACCTAAACGTTTGGAACAAAAACCGAATCCTTCATAACAATGTGCATATCAGAGGTTGCAACCGGGTACCCGATACCCGTACTCTACCCGATACCCGGCTACCCGTACCCGGCCGGGTACGGGTACCCGTTTGCGACCCTGGTGCGGCCGGGTACAGGTACGGGTAGGCCGTGAGTAACTGGTGAGTAACCGTTTGTCACTCATTTCGGGTAGGGTACGGGTACGGGCAGGGAATGGGAACCCGTACCCGGCCGGGTACGGGTACCCATTTGCGACCCTGGTGCGGCCGGGTACGGGTAAGGAATCAAAACCCGTTTGCGACCTCTGGTGCATATGTCACGCGCAATGACAGAGAATGGTGGAGGGGCTGGGTGGGTGGGGGAAAGAGACGAGGCTGGGTAGCCATGGAGACAATTCCAGTAGAGGGGTCGGTGTGGACGAGAGAGGCGAGCGAGGAGGACAAGGAGGGCTACAAGTCTCGAGAATGGAGGAGTAGGACAGCGAGAGAGAGAGAGAGAGAGACGTGGCTGTATCTTTTGTTACGTTATTGATTAAAGTTGATGTGTTGATACGGGCGGCCGGGGCAGCAATGGAGTATTTGAATCGAGTGAAAAGTCGTGCGAACGTCTGTGATCGGAATAAATGCTCACGTGATATTGCCGACGAGCAAGACTGGGTTACTACTACATGTAGAATGCATGCCCATTATGAAGCGCCTTGATTGCAATCGAAAAGTTTATATTTTGTCTTTGTTAACTTATACTTTTTCCCCCTCTTCATTTGCTTCCAGCTGTTGGTAGATGATTCACCGCGCAGTAATGTCTCCAGTCATGATTCAATGAAGGTAAGTCATTCCACGTTTACTAAGTCTATCCTCCTCTCTTGTATTTGTCGTTGCTGTGTTTTCATTATGGTGGTAAGCGCCGACACAACGGGTCCATGGTTTTCTGGAGGAAGGTGGTGAGGGGGAGGGTTCAGAAAGACGGTGGGGGACTTTAGGTGCTTGAAGTGTTGTCTAGGTGTGGGAAAGGAATTCTCGGTGTCAACCCTTGAAGGTGTTTTCTGACGGTGGTGTAGAGTGGTAGCTTTTATATAAATATATATATGGGGGGAGGGGGGGGGGCACGGGGAGGAAGTAACCGGCATTCTACGGGGAGATCAGTTGTGGAGAGAGTGGAGAGGTTTTTTATACCTGGGCATTCCATCGCTGTACCGGAGAAATTCCCATCTGTTAAAGGTAAAATGGGAGGCTGATCGATGTTCGGGTGCGGTCAAGCGATGGCTCCCTATTGGTCAGCCGTGTTGTGCGTGATGATGATGATCTTGCGATTGCTGCTCACTCACTTTCCGTGCCTTTACTCTGACAGAGCACAGAAAATTTCATTGGTAAAATTATCACGGAAGATCAAACGGGCAACTGGAAGGACGTCGAGAGGGAGTTGCCAGAGTTGCGAGAGTGGATCGGCAAAACTCCCTCCCTTTTCCTGCATGAGCTGAAGAAGAAAAATTTGGTTACGGAAGAGGCGTACTGGAGGGCATTTACAATTCCCGACGCCGCTAAGCGCGTGGACTCAATCCTGTTGCCCATCATGAGACGAGGGGAAGGCGAATGTCAACAGCTGCTGAAGATACTCGGACAACAGCGGAGCACGGAACGGCATTTCCTGGACATGCTGAAGACGAGCCGTGCGTAGACTTTACACACTCGTCATCGTTGCAGTCCGTTAAACGTATCCTTTTTTCATTTTTTCAAGCCAGAGCACTTAATAAAATAAGAAGATTTAATATAGCGCCATTCATGCTAATTATATCCCACAGCGCTTTTCATATCCTATTATATATGTAGCAATTACCGAGCATATGAACACCCTCACAAAGTAAAACAATAATAATCAAATGCATAAATGTGACCAAAACTAAAGAGACACAAACAACAACGACATAAAAAAGTTATCTCAACAGAGAAATTAGTCCACTCAGTCTCAGCATCGCAAGCCCACAATCCCAGTGTCTCACTAAAGAGAGAAATCCTTCACAGGCCGGGCAATGGTAGAGTGGCCAATAAAAGTTGCGACTAATTTAGGCCGATCTCAGTGGACACTGGATACATATCATACTCATCCCCTTTACATCATCATCATTAGCCAAGGTTAACTAACTGTTGGATGAAGACCTCCCCAAGCCTCCCTTACCTCCCACGACCCTGCTATGCAACGATCCACTTAGCACTCGCACGCGAGCTGATTTAATCGCCGGCAGTAGTTCCATGAGTATATTAACATACGTCCGCAGTTCGATGTAGCTTCGGGCAAAGCAATAGTTTAAATGCATTTTGGAAAATGTAAGCGTATTATTCCTTACCGAAAGAACCAAAGAGTATTCCTAAGTTGTCCACTTGCATTCCATGGAGCCTCGATAATTATCAATGTTTGAGCAACACGGCACGGTACCACGTGCTCCGATGCTGCCGCGTTGTAAAGGTTTGGTACGCGAGGAGGCAATACTGCTGGCTACCGCACAATGAGTGATCACTGGTAGTTGAGTAAACCAAACTAAATATTTTTTTTTTAACGAAACTAATGAATATTACTGGGTAAGGCCCCTCTGCCCTGCTATGTAATAGCTCTTTTTCAGAAGTGACCTGGCCATTACAAGTGATAGATCAACCAAGTAGCTGATATCATCATGTGCAAATTTATAGCAGCCTAATGCTCTTAACGCGTAATATTGATTGTGGAGAAAAATCCACGGGGAGATAGAGAGACACACACACATACTACAAATATAAAAAAGGAGTCAGGGTCGGGATTGAATGCACGACCTCATGCATATCAGGCGAGTTAGTTAACATCTCCTACCCATTGTGGCACATGCTTCGAGTCGAGATCCTTCCACCAGCAGTGGCATCGGCAAGAAATTGGCAGGTGCACCTTTGCCTCTCTTGGCGATGACTAATCATGGCTGACGATAATGAGCAAAAAACCGAGTCGTGATTGTTAAGATTTACACGATGATTTTCTTATCTTGCAGATGTGTGCTCGCCCACTCTGAACCCCAACTCGGCACATCGACAGCTTAAAATGTCTGCCGATCTCAGCACAGCGACGTGGAACCAGGCGGATCAGCCTTACTCTGATCACGCAGAAAGGTTTGAGTCGTGGCCAATAGTCCTCTGCTTCGAGACCTTCTCGTCGGGTGACCACTACTGGGAAGTTGACGTGAGAGCCTCGGAAAACTGTTCTATAGGTGTCGCACGTGGGTCGATTCCTCGGAAATGTCAAGAAAAGTCTGGCAGGTTGGGCTGGAATGAGTCTTCTTGGGCGTTCATTAAATGGGATTCGAATTACTCTGCAAGACATGACGGCCGATGCATTCCTTTTCCGGAGATTCAGCATTTGCAGAGAGTCGGCGTTCGCTTGGACTTCAACGCAGGAAAGCTTTCGTTTTACAACGCCAGCACCACGGAGCTGTTGCACTCATTTGACGACATTCCGAGTGAGCCGCTCTGTCCGGCTATGCAGGTGAACTCGGGCTCAATCATGATTTATGAAGGTGAGTACAAGGGCGCGTCACGCACAGGGAATCCTTGACACTGACTTGGAGTGTATTCATACCCAGTAGGGAAAAACGATTCAGAATCGTCGCCACCGAGTGTGCATGCAGGCGATGTAGCCACAGCGGTAGAGCACGTGAACATCCGCTTGGTCAATCCACTGCTGGCTGAGTGCCCACCCACTTCCTATGGGTCGATCGTGGAGGGTGTTTGGCCCTACTTCACCCTGCTGGTCTGTGTGTGGTGGGGGTAGTGAAGGCGAGGGAGTATAGACGCGAGGTCATAGCAGAACACACCCACGGCGGGGGTTCCTGAAACACTGCGGCAGTTTTTGTTTTACCGCCCAGCAAGCGAACAAGGCAGATTGTCTCAATCTGAAACAAACACATAAACAACATCCAATTATCTTAAATTTCGTATGGAGGTTTGATTTTTTTTCAACTGAATGCTAAAATCGGGAGCACAGATGCCGAATGATGAAAACGGAAATTAAATAAAAATCTAAAACTAATGGGATAGAGGAGGTGACTGTTCTAAATTATATTGGGAGATATAAAGATAATGTATTAAGCAAAGAGTTGCTGTGGGATATTGATGGCTGTTGGTGACAGACGGAGATGGAGTGCAGAAATATATTGTGAGAGTGAAATTGATTGTAAGTACAGGACCATAATAAATGTAGTGGCATGGGGAGACCTCACAGCAATGACTTAAAATTAACGTATGATGATGATAATAATAATCGTGACGAAGGCATTAAACAATTGCAAAGTTAGAACTCAAATTTGTTTTGATAATTCTTACAAATTTTTTAACAGCTCAATCATTCAAGAACCTGGCTGTGGATGAGAGCAGAGAAGACATTCAGATTTGTGATCACTTTGTAAACAGTGGAGTTCATCGCACAAAAAACACCGCTGCAGAGAAGGGTGACAGCGAAGATACATTGCTGACAACGAGGACAGAGGAACCTTCGGTGGTACGAGATTTGATCGGTAGGATCCCTGCAATGCAACATCACGAGTTGCTCGTCCAGGGTCTCATCACGCAATCCGAGCTCTCAAAAGTCTATTCGATGCCCCGCGCGTCAGCACGAGCTGACTTCATCATAAGCCGCCTCGATCGCAAGCAGGAAGAGCGCCCGCAACTCCAAAAGATTCTGCGTGAACACCGTGAGAAGCAAGATGCATTCCTGAAAATGCGGAGAGAATCGAGTACGTGATATGCTGTACACACCACACAACGTGCACTACTGAGTGTATTAATGCATCATCTTTGTCACTCAACTCTAATGATGATGTACAATGAAGAAAGATATCCGTATGAGATTTGAACCCTTAATACGGTGCAATAAGTCATCGTTTAGCACGGTAGATGCGTTTCTCTAAAAAACGCCGCGTTAAGCGAAAATGCGTTCATGCATTGTGGCAGTAAACATGGAAAAAGTATCAGAATCCTTATCCTGAATGAGGAATCCGATGAGCTATGAAGCTCTTTTTGACAGATGTCCAGTAGTGACACGGGGTCAGCGAGTTGCATCAATACCAAATAATAAGTATGAAGCAGGTAACGTAATCCCCATATAGATGGATTCCAGATGAAGATGAATCCACTTGCTGTATTGCCATACCCTGGCATGGCAGCAGGTGGCGACTTCATCGCCCTTGCGTAGGGAGATTCACGATTCTGTGTGATCCTACAACCCTCGCCTACTAAGTGCTGGATTACAGGCGACGCGATTGGTAACGACCAGACGTGTCCTGAATCCATCAGACAGTTTTGTGGACAGTTTACTGAGAGATTGGGTCAGTCGGATGATACATTGGGCTCTATTTGATTCTTCTTTCATAGACAGGGCAGAAACTTTGGGCTGAAACGTAGGAACCCCTGATAAAGACCACAGCTGTGTGAAGTGCAGCCCTGCATGCTAACATTTTCAGCCAATTTTTATAATTCTTACTGACATATGTTGCCAATTGCAAAGTGCATTTCTCAAAAGTAATTAATGTTCACTTAACACAACATGTGTATTATTATCGTTTACAGGCACTTGCTCGCCGACTCTGAACCCAAACACGGCACATTGGAACCTCCAGATTTCTGCCGACTTTAAAACCGTCAGGACTTCCTCACGCACCCAACATTACCCGGACAATCCAGACAGGTTCGACCACTACCGAGTGGTCATTTGCTCTGAGAAATTCTCATCGGGTCGCTACTACTGGGAAGTGGACGTGAGAGGTTCTGATAAATTCATCATCGGTGTCACGTATGACGCGATACCACGGAAAGGTGATGACGAAGCCTATAAAATTGGGTGCAATGAAGTTTCGTGGAGCCTTAAGAAATGGTGCAACGACTACACAGCGCTACATAAAGAGACGGAAACAAAACTGTCGATGCGAGATGCTCCCAAAAGAGTCGGGGTTCACCTGGACTGGGAGGCGGGCGTCTTGTCATTCTACAGCGCCGACTCCATGTCGCTGCTGCATCAATTTCACCAAAAATTTGATCGAGAGCTGTACCCTGCAATGGCCGTGCTGCGTAAAAGTCTCTCAATATGCCCGTTGCCGTGGCACAGACACTCGTCGTTAGAGATGAGAGGCTCCTATTAGAGCGGTCGCTCATGCGACTCCTGTATGTATGTAGAGTAATCCCTGGCCAACCGCGAGGGTTCAGGTTCCTGAAAACCCTCGCGGTTTGGTAAAGTTACAGGAGGCCCATGGGTTGTAGGCGGGTAGGGGAACCACAGCCGAGGTCAGACTCGCCACAGCTGAACTAGGCTGCCTGTTTATTAACTAATCTATGTTCCTGTGTATGGTACATTATACAGTAACATGATACAACATAAATAAACATGACATTAACTTTACATACCTTTACTATTAACGATGATTATAATTAAAAGGAAGGCCGTAGCCATGGAGTCAACATTGGGGGGGACCAAATCCTCCAGGCTGTCTGGGGTTTTAACCCAGAAAAATATCTAAATTTGAAAACTCATTTCCTGTCTAAAATATTAAGAAATTCACTAACACATGGGATGGACTTTTTATTTTTTACAATAATGTCGAATAGTGTATTGTATTACATTGTTCTGTTTTTCTATTTTATCATTTCTTGTTTCATTGTATGTAATGGCAGAGATTAGGGATTAATAAAGTACAACCATAACCAATATCGTATAAACAGTTTAACACGTAGGCTTTCGCGACCAATGTTATTCATAATCATAAACCAAAAACGTTGATTATGAATCGTATAAACAGACATCTATGCATTGATTTATATGTAGACAAGTCCAGATATTGTGGCTAAGGTATAGCAAATTGTTTAATTTATTTCAATAGCATAGCATTTTTAAAATAGTGTTGAGGAGCTGGCGACGACTCACTCAGAGACGGAGGTGAGGTTAAGGGCTTCCGCCGTTTATTAAAGGGCTACACAAGACACACGGGGGGGGGGGGGGTGTGAACCACTTCCCAGGGGTTCGGGGTCCCGGGCTCGTTCCCACTGGGTCCCATCACAGCCGGCTGCCCCGTGCCGTCTCCTCTGCGCCGGCCATGGGATCATCCAACATGGCCGACCGAGGAGCACAGCTACGTCCAGCCCTGGCGCTGTGCTATATCCACTATCCCTACCCTCTTGACCCTGGCTCCCCGTTTCACCCTCTCTCGACCCTTGACTCAAGCTACGACCCCGCTTACATCACGGGGTACCCCTTGTAACCTTCAGGAGCTGTGACGTCACGTGCACTGTCCAGGACACGTGACCCCACGTCCCGTGACGTCATCGCACTGGACAGCACACACGACGCCATTACTCTCCTCTACTCCTCTACAATAGTAATATATTGGGGTGGGGGGGCATTTTGAGCATATTTGAATATTGGGGGGGGGGGGGGTACCCCCCAATATATATATATAATTACGGCCTTGATTAAAAGGATTAACGACGATGATGATGACGATGAGATGATGGGGGAAGAGGAGGGGCTCAGGCCAGCCACGTCCTCTTCCTCCAGACCACAGACGCAACACTCTCTCAACACTCGCTGCACGCTTGGGTCCATGACTAACGGCAAAAGTAATGTGCACCATGAAGTACTGTACAACAATACAGAGCTGAGCAGCGCAACGGCCCCGCGGAATTTGTATTAAATTTCGCGGTTCGCAGAGCATACAAAACACCGCTATTGATGTTAAGATTTTTACGTATTTTGTTATATTAATCTGTTCAAGTAGCCGATCATACTGCGATGTTAAGTCGCCGTGTAAATTGTAGTTTTTATGGCCACTGTGCCTCGGTTCTTCCTGGCCGTGATCGTCCTCTTGGGCACAGTGGGGGTGGTCAACAACAATTAACAAAGTAACAACCGATAATTCTAGATTTGAAGCTTTCGTGACTGCAAGGATTCATACTCTTAGTTTTTTCGGTAAAGTCACGTAGGTAAAAAATGAAATTAATAAAAAATAACGACGTTTCGGAGGCAACACAAGTCTCCGTCATCAGGTGGGACCGTCACAGCCAAATTTGCTGTATCACTTGATACAGCAGATCACTTGATACAGCAAATCACTTGATACAGTAAATCTGGCTGTGACGGTCCCACCTGATGACAGAGACTTGTGTTGCCTCCGAAACGTCGTGATTTTTTATTATTTATTTTTATTAATTTTAATTTCATTTTTTACCTACGTGACTTTACCGAAAAAACTAAGAGTAACAACCGATAATTCTCCGGCGTGATCTTCTTGCTCTCCACGCTTGGACACAAGGAATCCAGGAGGAGACTCCGTTCACACGCGGCGGGTTTATTGAGCCGGCCTCTCCAGCACACGGCGATGTTGACCATCTGAAACGACCAAATCTGCTGTCAACTTCACGCCCCCACACCTCACTGATCACGACGAGCCGATTCTAAAATTGGTGACTTTACATGCACACCGAATCGATAACACCGAATGGAACATCGATCACACTGGATCGAATCGATCAGTGATCGTGTTCACGTGAAGTCTCCATCATACTGGTCATCACCTAAGCATTTTGTCAAAAATATGTTGAAAAGGAAATAAAGAGGTTCTCCTTATAATACTAAGTGCGAACATATGAACCATTTAACAAATACATAACCACACAGGTTACACTTATACATCAACGTTATACTAATGTACGATTTTTTCATATCTGCGATTCAGTGTATATACGGTATTCCAATGTCCTACTTGAACTTTAACTTGATTCTGTGTCAGATTTTGTATTAAACTTCATACAGTGAGTGCATACAAAACCATTGCATTCCGATGGAGTACATCATTTTAAACTTGACTGGGAGTCAGCCGCTACAACATGGGACCTTTTTTGCCAGTATTAAAGTATTAAAAAATAAGAAAAGGTTTTAACCCTTTCTGGAAATAATACAGTCGTGTTAAGATGCTCAAACATTAAATAGAAACCTTCTGCAAGGAACCGTGTCACTGCGTTAACCACACACAAGGTACTTGGAGTGAACATGCAAATATGCTGCTTGCCTTTTGGCGTTCTCTGGCCTGGCACTAGTGAGATTGGGCTCTAAAGAAGGCTGCTGTCTCTGGTGTAGACCAATCAGTCTCAAAGACAATACCATATATTATTATCGGAGCATGATTTTGTTGGCATGTTCACCACACGTTCTGCGTGTGGTTAATGCAGACACTATTCCTTGCAAGAGGTTTATTTTTGTTGTTTTAACATTTTAACACGACTGTTTTATTGCCAGTGTCCAATCTGATATTGAACTTCATTCAGTGATTCCCCACCCCACATTTGGTTGGCAGGAAGCACCCAGGGACATCTGCAGACTGTCAGAAGCCTCTCGGCTCCAGGGAGAAGGGGGGGAGGGGATTCGTACCAGACCAGTAACCAGAAAACTCTGGAATGGGTTTCGTGCGGCATGACATCGCTCGGCAGAGCTGGGCACAAATCTGGCGAGCCCCAAATTATGGTCCAGGAGCTCCCTCACTTGAGCTCGCCCAGTTGCAAACGACTGAACTTGAGAGACACTCACCCCAGGCCAATGTGCAGCAGAGTGGACTTTCAAAAAGTAGGCCAGGGACCTCTGGTTGGCGAAGATATGCCTCGTCGATGATGGATCCGGGAGGCAGAGGGGGGTTGAACCGACCGCAAGGAAAATATTTGAACCAAAAATAAAAATCTGTAAAAGGAGTTGATGCCTGGAGGCGATGGAAAGTTATTTTAAGGGGGCTCCGATGAGCATGAAAGGAGGTAGAGCACGAGGAGTGTGGAGGGTGGACGCTCGAGGGAAGGGGCGACTATACGGAGTGAAGAACCAAGTGCTGGGCCGAGTGCAGGTCGCTATGTGTCTTCAATAAAGAGGCTCCGAGTTCCCAGTCGTCGGTGTCACTTCACACGGACCAATGAAATCGTGGGCGAAATGTATGAAGGTGTCACCGGAGTGCGGGCACAACGCAAATCTATCACCCGCGCTGCCCAGACATTGAGAAACTTTACCGTGATGTCACGATGTTTTTTTGGGGTTTTCAATAAAATGTGAGGCACCTACCTTGGGCCCGTCAACAGATAGAGGAGACACCGCAATTCCCCTTCTAGTCGTGGATTCATTTCGTTCCAGCGCAGCCACGGCCAACTCATCCATATATGGGCATTCAATTAACTGAGATGGCCAACGACTATCTCATAGCGCAACATCTAGCAGAGACGGCAGCGACGACGAGACGAGTCCACTCACAGAACCGGCAGTTTTGAGCCCCGTGCTCTTGGCTTTTTAAATCCTTTATATTAAGTTTGCTTGCTTGCTTGCGTGCTTGCTTGCTTGCTTACGACCGTGCAAATCTTTCGGTCGTTTTTTAACCCACTTCCCGTGATCCAATCGAGCTGACATTTTGCACACAGACTCGTTGTGCGTGACAATAAATGTTCGTGAAAAAAAATCCAAAATGTTAAATTTTTTAGGACAAAAATATTATATTTAATGACCAATTGCTTAATGGTGGCAGGCAATCATCTGATCCATAGGTGGCAGCCATCTCAAGCCAGAGGACGAGAGGACTCTAGCCGCCACGCATATAAAGGATTTAGAGTGAAAAACTTTGTTTTTACGGGTTAATTTTTTTTATGCTACCAACGCGACCTGGCTCCGCCCTGACCGCACCTCCCTTCTCTCGAACCTGCCAGCAGGTTCCAGGGGCCTCCAGATGGGGTCCTCCATAACCCTTGCCCTAGTTCCTCCGCTCTGCCAACACGCACCGTGCTCTTAGTTTTTTTCGGTAAAGTCACGTCAGTAAAAAAATGAAATTAAAATTTATAAAAATAAAATAATAAAAATCACTAGTATCACTACTACTACTAGTATTACTACTATTACTAGTATCACTACTCTGACTTCTAGATTTGAAGCTTTCGTGACTGCAAGGATTCATACTCTTAGTTTTTTTCGGTAAAGTCACGTAGGTAAAAAAATGAATTTTAAAATAATAAAAGTAAACACGTAGGCTTTCGCGACCAATGTTATTCATAATCAACGATTTTTGGGTTTAGATCGCGTTTATTTATAAATGTGTCGTAACCCTCCACCACCCGACACGGCCAATCAGTAAAAATGTGTGGGCTAAAGCAGTGAACTATTTGTCTTTGTCAACGTGACACATTTTTACTGATTGGCCGTGTCGGGTGGTGGAGGGTTACGACACATTTATAAATAAACGCGATCTAAACCCAAAAATCGTTGATTATGAATAAAAGTAAAATAAAAATAAAATAATAATAAATGACGACGTTTCGGAGGCAACACAAGTCTCCGTCATCAGATGGGACCGTCACAGCCAGATTTGCTGTATCAAGTGAGGCAGGGATTCAAGATGCAAGCTCTTAAATACCAGTTAAGGGGGAGGGGGGGAGGGCTTATCAGAATGTGGTAGCCAATGAATGGAACGTATTGGGAGGGGTGGGGGGGGGGGCTAAAAGAGAGCACGAGGTGCACGTGTACATGTTTGTGCACAGGCACCTGTTGGTGCACATGATAGAAGAGAACGAAAATGCCCATGTTGTTTTTACCAGTGTTGGCCAGAGGTGTGGACTCGAGTCATGTGACTTGGACTCGAGTCAGACTCGAGTCATGAATTTGATGACTTCAGACTCGACTTGGACTTGCATAACAATGACTTTGTCC